CGGGGTTAGTCTAATATCATAGAAACAAGCGTAATATTCACCTTGCAAGCTTCATGGTAAAATATGGTTGCCAGTTTGTCAGTAATATGGACGTTGTTGTTGATGTTGTGGACGAGTTAACGTTCATCACGCAAAAAGCCGAGCCCAAAATATTATTGATTGTCTAGCAACACACTCAACACAACCTTTAGACTTAGATAACGACTAGTCTGTAGCTTCCTGTAATCATCTCCTTCACTCTGTAGCTATAGGAGCCAGAAACGTCATCTTTTTCATTTTGACCTAATGCATGTCTCTACCCTGGACAAAACGGAAAACATTGTTGGGTTCATTACTCAATAGCTCGGATGATGATGAAGAAGGCCTTGCCTTGGATCGCATTTTGCATGGTCAGCGGATCATAGGAAGGACTGGTAAGAGCCAGATGCATTCTGGCGGTCTTTTACTCACAACCTCCGCTGAAATAGCGAGAACTGCAGAGATAGAATCTCTCCGTTTCTCAGACGGAGATCTTGTCGTCCTGGGCACACTGGACCAAGGCCAATTCGGGACGGTAGGTCCGTAAAGAACATATGTTACGTATACGCTGATTTGTCTGTTCAGATTGACGTCGTGACGTGCCATCTAAATGGTCGCGTATATGTTCGCAAATCTATTGAGAAACATTTTGCCCAGCGGACTCGTGAAGTAGCACTTTTTTGTTATCGGCGACTTTTCATGCTGAAAAATTCTGCAGCAATGTTCTCCACAGTTGGAAAGGGACATTCTTTTACGTGCAAAACGTGAGCGCTCTGCGTGGGCTCCGCACTTATTTTGTGCATTCCAAACCTCCACTCATCTCAATATTGTCATGGATTATGCCGAAGGAGGTACATTATGGGACGTGCTTGAGTCGAACCCTGAAGGTAGAGTTCCTGAGGCAGACTTACTTTGGTGGGCTCCTCAAGCAGTCTGCGCCATCAACTGGTGTCATTCCCAGGGTTTTGTACATCGGTGAGAACCACCCTCTAGCATTGCGTACTCATATAAACGCAATGCAGTGATATCAAACCACAGAACTTCGTTCTCACAGCAAGAAATCACATGCTTCTAATAGATTTCGGGTCTGCTGCGCCACTTTCACCTCCAGAGCCTGACGGGAGCCAGTCGGTCCCGAAACAATATACCCTTGTTCCTTGTGGTACTTGTGATTACATTTCTCCTGAGGTTCTGCAAGCACACGAAGATGCCCTCCTTGCGTTGGAGTTGTCGGACGACAATGTTTCTCCTTCATTCTCCGAAGAAGTTGGTTCATATGGCTCTGAAGTCGATTGGTGGAGCCTCGGCGCAATGTTGTATGAATTGGCTTATGGAGTGGCCCCTTTCTTCGCTAAAGACATCCGAACTACTTATCTGAGGATTTTGGACTATCAGGTACTGCAGTATTACTAAGCTCGCTAGTACCTACTTTGACCCTTCATTTGGACAGACAAGCTTGCGCTTCAATGCAGCGATTCCCGTTTCTAAACAACTACAGGAGTTACTTCGCAGGTCTGTTGTGAAACTATTCATGCTACTATCATTCAAACCACGTGGATACAGATTTCTCACTGATCGGCACCATCGTCTCGGGAGATGTAGCGTGCTGGAAATAACAGAGCACCAGTTTTTCGGAAACACCGACTGGTCTTGTGTAGATTCGCGTGAGTCTTGAGTATCAATAGTTCTTCTTATATCCATTCTTTCTTGCGTAGGCCTTGCACCGTCTGATATCCATGTGCCGCAATTCACATATTCTGCATCAGCAGTACCCGAACCCCCTGATCCCACGGATGAAGAAAATTCACAGCCGTTTGCGTTTTCTGCTTTATTTCATTCTTCCCCGAACACTTCGCTTGGAATATCAATTTTGCAGGACACGTCTCATCACATATCTCCACGAGCCGAGTCGGCCTTCATCGGATTTTCGTGGGGTCCTACTGAGGATGCATACCTTCTGCCAACCAATTCATCTCGAAAATACGAGACAGGCAGATTGGCCACTCCTCAACCTTTACAGGCCACTTCCGGGAACTATAGCCCTCGTCAATTGCTCAAAGCTTCCAGCACTGCCACCGCTTTTGCAACACCTATTCGTCCCCATAGTTTATCAGCATTCCACACCCTTCCCCGCACAGGCACTATTCGGCGTACAGCTCAGCGGCGCGCTGTTTCAGATCGTGAAGCCATGAAGCAACTCGTGGAATGCATCGGAATGAGTGCCAGGAAGAAAGTCCTCGCCAGTGGTCGCAAGCCGCGCTTGATACAGTCCTCTAGCCGAAGTTTCTCAAACACCGTTCGAAAAGAGCTGCGCTTTTGTCTTCGGCCCGTTGTTACTGACAAAACTTATGACTCGGATGATTTCCCAGCCGTGGTGGCTGCTTCGGCATCTGAGGGAGCAGAGGAAACCGAGTCGGATGGACCACCAAGTCCCAGCCCCAGTCCACGCCCCGGTTCTGCAATGTCTATACTCAGCCGAAGAAGCGTGACGCCCACAATATCCGGATCCTATTCTACTCGTTTGTTAAACCTCCCCTCTGCTACATCTACGGCAAGCAGTAATCTGCAAAGCGACGATAACACTTTTGAATCGCTGGAACATAGACACGCCGCTATGATGTCTGATTTGACAGCGATTGAAGAGCGCTTGAGCCGTATCTCCATGTTATTATCGGTGGAGGCGCCTAAGTCCTCCGCTAATATCGGTTAAAAAGGGGTATGTTTGCAAAGCGTTTACCTTATACAAGCTGACTGTTTAATAACTACTTTTACTCCGTCGCTAGGACACCCCATCGGAGCGATCCGTATCACCGGCTCGCAAAGTGGAGTTGGTGCGTGCTGCCGTGTATGAAATCCACGGTCAAGTTGACGACCGTCGACAGCTGGCATAATTTCAAATTCGAGCAACTGTGCGACCGTATACTACAATACTACTTTGTGTATGTTGTACCAGGACCACAGCCACATGTTCTGATGTGATCCGGCTGGCGGCATCCCATGTACCATAAATTCTGTGGCAATCAGCGTGGAACCTGCTTCTCGCACATCATCTAACGCGCTGCCTGTTCACCATACCCTTGGGCAATCGTTGACGTATTTTATCGAGGTGTTCCTGAACCACTACGAGGCTACGGGACTCGGAGAACATCTGTACTGGTATGCGTAGTCCTATTTCCTCTTCACCGCTCGGACCGCCCATCCGCACCACTTCGCATCTCGACTCTCTATCCTGTAGGAACAATTCTCCGAGCTGACAGTTATCTCGTAGGTCCCCCGAGAACACCCACCCTGTCTAACAAGATCGTTCTTCCCGTCCTATTCAGGATGCCCAACCGAGCTCTTCCTCGACCCCTTCCGTGCTTTCGCACGGTGTCTCTGATGAGGCTCAAACATCTAATTTCGGTTCTGCTTCTTCTGGTCAACATTTATTAAGGATACAGGATATGTGCTACAATCTCCACACTCATGAGCGCCCTTGATTTTGGACGAGCCATCTCAAAATCCCTATTTACACTCTATCTCTTCACGCACAATGACATTCTGACGACGATCATTCCAACGGTAAACAATAGCGTTTCCCAGTAACTTTCTGTTCTGAGATCATAGACGCAGACACTTTTCGCACTGGTGTCAGCCCCCCTCTACAGCCCTTACCGATGTGTTCATGTGGTCTGGTGGATTTGGCTTCACCTCCTTCATTTCAATGTTGCCAATCAAGTGATTGATCCAGCAGAAGATGGTAGGAACAAAGCTAGCCGACCAATACCAGCGGGATACATCAGTTTACGAGATGCGGTCTATCTACGCTGGTCCTTGGTCCCCATATGCTTGGTATCATCAGCATTCTACAGCATCCAAGTGCTCAGTGCAAGCCTAGCGATAACTCTGCTCACTCTTTGGTACAATGAATTCAAAGCCCATAATCATTGGTTTTCAAAAAACTTGATGACCGGCTTGGGATATGCTTGCTTCCAGGCTGGGGCCACCCTCATTGCAGGTATGTAGCTGACATCAAATAAGAAAACACCTACTGACTATCACAACCAGGTCGAGATATGTCACAGCTAGAGCCGAATGCTCTCTTAGCTGTGCTGCTTAGCATCGCTATGTTCGCCACCACGCTCCAAGCGCAGGACTTCAAAGACCAGGAAGGAGATCGCTCCATAGGCAGACGAACGCTGCCGATCGCACATCCTTCTCCAGCTCGTGTGTCCATGTTTGTAGGACTTCCGATGTGGTCGATTTGTCTTACTCAGGTCTGGAGGATGGATGCATACTGTAGTGTCGCATTCGTATTGTATTCGGGACTTGTCGGATTACGATTCATGGTATGCAAGACAACTCAGGCGGACCGTCTGTCGTGTCAGCTATATAGTGTGAGTTATACTCTCATCTGTGTAACTTCGGCCTGACTAAGTACTTTCCGAAGCTTTGGTTTTCTGTTGCACATCTGCTTCCTGGTTACTGGCGTTACTTCCATGAAGCCCGCATACATATATCATAGTGTTTACTGAACTGGAGGCTTGATCCAAGAACTTTTCACTCTGGACTTATGGTCGTCACAATTTGTTACATCAATCAAACATACGGACCATTTTTGTTGTACACATGTACTGGTCCCTGATACATTTATGTATTATTTATTGGCTTGGATGGCATTCTGTACCTTCTTTGTAGCTAAATCGCTGACCAGAAATACGTAGGCCGATATCTCTAGTACTACCAACTACATACATACACTGTCCACATCAAGCGAGCCGTCATCACTGTGCGCTGGTGGTAACCCGAGATTGGCAGCATATAAAAGGAGAGCTTACAGTAGATCGCCCCTGTGTAAGCACGCTGGCTTACCTGAGTTCTATATATACCGTCGCTGATGCTGAAAGCCAAGCTTTCAGTATTTCACCTTTTGGTGTAACGATCATGCGCGAGCGGCCTGACCACATTACACCCTGCTTCTGTGTCCGTATCAAGTCCACAACTAGTAGAAAGAGATGTTGTATTCATGATATCGCCGCTGTAAACTACTGTGCATCTGACGAGCTTGAACAATCAATCCACGAAACGTGAGGTACATGCATGGAAAACGAGCTGCGAACTCTGCGAGAGGGGCCCCACACCTGAAGATAAATTTCATGTTCGCTGCAACATTATCTGCGGTCTATGCCCGTTCTTCTGAACAGATGTGGATTATATTACACTTATCACCTAGGGCGACGGTGTGCCCGGCGCTTGTGGAACACACGAGTTACGAGTTGGGTTGGTCTGGAACTTCTAGATGCTTACGGTCTGCTGTGGCATCCATCATGGATAAATCAGCCACATTGACCTTTGCTCCCGCGGATGAGGCTTTGCAGTTGACCTTGGGCAATAATTGGACAAGACCAGTTCGCAGTATCTCTGGGCCCCTTGTACCCAAGTATCTGCAGTTTCAATCAGGGTAAGTAATCGTTTATCCAATTGGAAATTCCTGAGACCTTTGAGTTTCGTAACTCCAAGAATGGTTTGCTCGAGCCCATGTTGCCATCCCATCAAGATACTCCTTGACTAGAACGTCGGTAGAAGGTCCCCACGAAGGTACCTTGGCAAGACCATCGGTGAACCTTTTCTCGACTTCGGTGTGATAGCGTGCTGCCCAGACCATCGCACCGCTTCTGTCGAGGCCAAGTTCCACCATAACAGTAGTGATCAAGTTATGGTTTTCATCCCCTGTCGCTTGCTCTCTATTGTACGAGATCATATCCTGTAAATGCTGTTAGCGGTTGCAGATCACGTCTTCGATGCGGATTTACATTGTCAGTCAACATCAACTCTGCAATGCATTCGACCAGTTCGACAATGATGGGATGATAAAACACCTCATCGGGAAGATCCATTCCCATTTCATATATTGCGATAGCAGGTTTTGCAGCACATGTATCCCGCCGAAGCTTGATGTAATCATCGATACTACGGCAATGAGCCTTATCGCGGTCGAGAGCCTCGACAATCACTGCACGAAGGTATGCGGTATAGCTGTCAAGGAAGTGACGTTGAAAAGGTAGGCTTGCGGTCTGAATCGCACGAGCCCAAAATCTACGCAAAATTTCTTTGGACTTCAGAATGCATGATCAGACAATTTGAAGATACTTGCTGTCGTATGATTTCTCCGAGGATGCACTCGCCTTCTGGTCGCGTCTTGTGAGGATTGTGTAGGGCATCGATGACGATGCCCACCATTGCCTCGGCAACTGCTGCATTTTCAACGTCGGTGTACTCGTCCACGATGAGGAAAACATTGATGAGCTCGCAGGCGATTCGAAGGTGTTCTATATGGCCAGAACAGAATTAGAGGTGTGCGATTCACGAGAATCCAAGCTAGGGTCAGGGACGAACCTCTTGATGCATTGGGATAACCCAGTCCTGCTAAACGGGCTACAAAAGCAGCAGTTGTCCGCTGTCAACCATTAAAGAGTTATGGGCAAGTAGAAACAGAGGCCGAACCAGAATCACATTTGTCGTATGCTTCCTGTGACTCGGCACTCAGAGCCTTGAATTCACGAAACGAAGCATCGACTTCAGCTTTCACAACTTCATAATGAGGATTCATCGCACGGGGCCAGGGCCAGTTGGTCATGGTGTTTGGAAGACAGATTACCCTTGGACGAGGATCCATGATACCCTAGAGTCTAAGGACACTTTCCGATGACGAGTGGAAACAGAAGAAAGGTTGATGCTGAAGTGACTCGAGTCCATGACTTCTGAATCTGAAGCCTTTATAATTCTCACTTGAAATGACTGGTCAAAAATGGTCAAAAAGTGGTCTGATGTGAGTTAATATTGTGCGCACTCGACTAAGACATGCTTCGAGAACAGGGATTGATGCGGAAGATGCCGAACAGTGAGCACTAAACTTTGTTCATCTATGTTTGATGGCTTCCTTCCACTTCTCTCCTTCCGTAAATACTTCATCTGTAACCTGTTGAGTCATTCAGATGCTCACTTTCATTGTAATTTCAGGATACCGCTCCCTGAAGGCCTTGCTTCACTATCGCCCTAGTCAACGAGTCCCTGACAGAATTCATCAACGGTTACATCATGTGCAGTGCTGTCCACAATACTGAATATGATTGAATATTATTCAGATTATATTCGAATACCCTGAATATAATACATAGGTCCTGTATTCCTAGTCATGAAGATTATGGGTGAATATGTTACAATACATTATGGTCACTGCATCAGGAAAATCATAAAAATTCTTAGCCAACTTATCTTACTTATGTTTACTTGAAACAATACTAAGTGCACCAAGTCATGTAAGAAGATCATTTCTACTTAATTTCTACTTAGAGAATTCTTCACAAAGGAAATACAAGAAAGAAATCTGTGAATCAAGTGTTATTCAGAATTTTAAGTAGGCAGGTGATAATAAGTGAAATTTGAGATCTACTAAGTAGTAGACTCACTCAGAGTATCATTACTAAGCAGAAAACATAAGTTGATTTCAGCTAAACAATAATAAGTACTACGATAAGTCAAAATGCGATCTCATATGCATGATGATCAATGAAATTGTTGACATAATAAGTGCAAAAAGCGTCGAGTGTCTGCGAGTAAGTGAGATTGGTTGGCACAAAGTCGCCCCCAAATACTGGTATAAGGTGGGCCGCACGAAATATACTATCAAGGTGGATGACAGACACACAGCGTGCTCCATCTTCAAGAAGCTCCGGCTCTACAACCCACATTCCCGTAATTTCATCTGGGGAGTCAGCCACACGTTTGAACCACTGTACAAGTGCACAAGGGTACGTGATACCATCATGCTTCAAAGAAAAAAATAGTCTCACTCGAGCAATGTCGAGGCCGCGCATGCCATCGGCAGACGAATCAGTGCTAACAAAGACACAATCATAGCACCCAGGGCCATTTCTCCACGTATCTACAGCGCGAATACGCTCGTAGCGCATACCGCCAATCCCCGATAAATCGCTAGGAGCAAAGAAGGTGGCCACAGCTGAAGTGTACAGTGTGATCTTTTCGTAGATCTCAGGAAGTGCAGACCGGGAGGAGTCAGAGCTAGATGAGTCAGAGTCAGCACGGCATTGGTCACGCAGAAAATGCTGAATCAAAGTTGTGAAGTTGGGTTGACCTATCTGATCTGCAATGAGCTCTGGGTAGATCCATCTGGCTGTAGTAAGGTGTATGGTGAGCGGAAGCATGCAAGTATACACAAAACTACTTACCAGCTGTCTTCGCCAGGTCAACATGGGCAAGGACCGTTGGCCCATCAACAGCATCAGCATCAGGCTCAGCATTGGTGTTACCCTCACCCTCGTCTGCACTACCTTCGCCATCATTAGTTGCATGATGGTAGCGTCCAAAAGGCTCATCCTGGTCTGGGACATCTCGTTCGATGTGTGCTTCCAATGGAGCGTTTAGTATCCCTGTGAATTGTAAAGGTGGTGATTAGTGTTGGCGAGCCCAGCATCATGAAAATCACATACCAAGTTTGTTGAGGATGTATGACAAACACGTCCCTCGTAGCATCCCGCGGTCAACAAAATCAACGCGTGAAGCGGCTAGCTTGTCGAGACGCTGATTGGTAAGTAACATTTGACTGAGAGCCTCGAAACGACTCGACCGGCGCCATGGCTCCTTGACAGCTTTAATGTGTTTGGACTCTGTTATAGACGAACAAAGCCCATTTGGTGCGCCGAACGCTTGAATGAGCTTATGGTAATGGATGAGTGAATGTTGTCGAGGGAGATTAAATCCTCTGGGTCGAACACCGGATGTTCAGAATATCTCGCGGTACCTGTGGAAACGCTTCAAGGCATCGTCCATTGCGTCGAGGCTGTTAGAGCTGATGATGTTGCGGCGAGCGATGTAGATGAAGTCGAGTAACGCTCGCAAAGCCTGTACCATCTCTTTGGGTACATGACCTTCGATAGCAGGTATATAGACCTGGGCAGTAAATGCGCATTAAAAATATTAGTACTGTTGCTATGTAAAATATAAGAATATTGGTACAGACCTTCATGAGAGCTTTTGAGTCGTCACCAGTCCACTGTTTGAATCCTCTACCCTCTGGAAATTGTCGAAGGCCTGCAAATGCTGGAGCTAGAGCGATGCTAGTTGTGTGACACATACTACTATTCAGCAGCAGCAGCAGCTTGAAGTGAATTTGAAGATAAACTTACCGACGGTCAATGTCGTCCAGTATCTTGTTCGCGTTGGCTTCTGTATATTGAGCTTCGATGTAGTCGTGCACCCAACTAACTAGGTGGTCCTTGAACGCTCCCTTGATGAGCTGGTGTAAGATATCTGGGGAGAGAAGCTCGTGTATGTCGGCGCGTGGAAAGTAATTAGTGAATGGCTGTATCAATAGTGTAAGTTCAAAAGAGACGAGTAGATGAAGTATTGTACACACCACAATGTCTCCAACAAGGCCGTATTCATCCCACAGAACACCTAGTTCGAATTCCTCAACCAAAACTTTGGTGTGATTGCGGGAACGTCGGCCATATGTGCCTTCATCGAGACCGTCTGCTGGTGCGGTGCATCTGCCAGTGTAAGAGCACCATAGTCCTACTTAGCATAGGGACACGAAGAATAAGACAAAAACGTACTTTGGACACCAATTTTGTACAATACATGCAAGCAGTGCTTGCTTGGGATAGTCAGCTATGTATGGTCCAAGACTATACACAGCTCGTCGAAAGTGGCCATCAGGGCAACGGACAACCTCCAGTTTGGTCATGCCAGGTTTGAGGGTTTCAAGCATTTTTGCAAGTGACGAGTGTAGAAGCTGGCGGCGGAACTTTCGGAAGTGTGCGTCCTTGGTGTCTTCATTATCAGCTAAGTAAATCAGTACCACATTAGTAACAGCAGCGCACACAATTAGTAGAGAGTACGTACCTTTTGGAATGGCTAAGAAGCCAAGTAGTACGACACCATTGCGGTGTGCACGCCGCACATTGTTGCGGATGTTGCCAATGGACATATAGACCGGCCAATATTGGTTATGGCCAGTGGCGACAGAGACTGTTGTCTTGTCACTTCCAAGGATAATAGGGACGAACATCGATCCTATTGTATCCGGATCTTGCGCAATTAAGTCCTGCAGTGAATGATAGAAGTGAGACAACAACGCGAAGGAGTAAGTGAGCAACACTTACGGCCTGTTTCCAACACCAGTCGCCGGACATACAGTCCTGAAATTGATGCGCTCCATCACTAACGCTATACTCCTGTAGCGGTGCATAGTCGAATTCGTCCTTGAAATCCGGGTTTGATATGATGTTGTGAACCAGGAGCCGAGGGTCTCGGAACCATACGTCATACTCAGACTTCATCCATGATGGAATGTCATCCGGGTCGTCAGGTAAAATTCCGTTGTACTGCGAGCTGAAGCTTTGCCAGGGAACATCACCGAGAGGAGTTGAATCGATGGTGTCGTACATGTCGGTGTGGTTTGTGAATGGCGGGGTATCACCGTGAGCTGCTAATGAAGCTGCCCACAGATTGAATACAAAATCAATATCGCCTGCAGACATTTGGTTGCGATGGTACAGGAAATCAGCAACTTCAAACTTGACACGATCGTTGTATGGCGTCCAGTCGTCAGATCCACGATCTGATGGGCGTGGAGGTGGTGGAGCATCTGGGGGTATGGGATTCCCTTGACCATCGCAGATTCTCCCTTTGTAGAGGAGAATTGAGCATAAATTGTATGAGCATCAAGAGAAGTCACGTACCGTTAATGATGGGATGATATGACCTAGTTACCTGAGGTCGACTCCAAGCTTGGCTGTCAGAACTAGCACTACTACCAGGAGGCTGATCTACATCCAAACCACCTGTAGAGTCTGCCGGCGGCTCAGCAGAATGCCGATCCTCAAAGGTATCGTGTGGTGCATCATACTCAAAATCATGATGGCTGCCATGACCATCCTCAATGACATCCTCCAAGTCAGGTGGATTGAACACCATATCAAAATCACGACCGCCACTAGCCTGAGTGCGACTGTCAGAAGCTCCCTCTGATCTGCTCCGGCTGCGTGAATGATATGTTGAGTCAAATAAGGGACGTTCAGGGCCAGACTGAGACGCTGATGATGAATTGCGCTTGCAACTAGCAGGTGGGGGAGAACTACTGGAACTGGAGGATGAATGGTGTGGCAGTCGGAAAGTCTGTGATTCATGCTGTGATCGCATGTGGGAAGTGCGCCCGGACCTATTATGGAAATGGCGGGTGCAGCCTACTGCTAAGCATGGTAGCGTAGGCTGACAATGGCTAAGGGTGCGCATTTTGCGAATATGGAGGTTGGTACTGGATGGTATAGTGTGATGGTGTAGAACTGGCGGGGTAATGAGAGCCTACAAGTCTGAGCTTCAGAGGTGCATGCGGCATGATATTTATATGCAAACTTACCTTAGCATAAGAGCCTGTGAAGGCGCCACTTGAAGCGCGAGGTGTATGCGTTGTTGGGAGCAGTGAGAACCTTCCAAAAGTAACATGAGGCAATGGTACAACAAACATGCATACTACATACCAACAACGAGGCAGCCATTAAGTTGGACAGCATGAATGATCACCAGGAGATCCAGATCGGGAAAAGGGCAGGGTAGTGGGCTCTTCTAGAGAAAGTGTTTGACATGCGGACTGCAGGCTAGCAAAAGTGGCAAGATTGACACGCACAAGTTCAATTGCAGAGTTCCATTCAACATCTGGGCGAAGTGATAATGATGCGAGTGGGGGATGAAGACGAAGCTGAAACGATGCGAGTGAGAGATGAAGACGAAGCTGAAATGATGCGAGTGGGGATGAAGACGAAGCTGAAATGATGTGAGTGAGGGATGCAAGTCAGGGATGAAGACGAAACTGAAACGATGCGAGTGGGGGATGAGTTGACGAGCGGCTACTAAAGACTGACCAAGGGTGCGGGATGATAGCCCATTCTGGAATGGGGCACACTCTGAGCATTGTGGAATGGAGAGGAATGGAGAGGGATGGGTAGGTAGTATGGGATCATGTACAGCAGCCATAGTGAGCAGAACGGGCTGGATGATGGTGTCGTGAAGGATGATGGTCCAATTTGCCGTCATCGGTTGCCCGATCTAGCACTGCAGGTTAGTGCGAATATGACGAGCGGCTACTAAAGACTGACCAAGGGTGCGGGATGATAGCCCATTCTGGAATGGGGCACACTCTGAGCATTGCGGAATGGAGAGGGATGGGCAGGTAGTATGGGACCATGTACAGCAGCCATAGTGAGCGGAATGGAGAGGGATGGGCAGGTAGTATGGGACCATGTACAGCAGCCATAGTGAGCAGAACGGGCTGGAGGGATGAAGACAAAGCTGAAACGATGCGAGTGGGGGATGAAGATGAAGCTGAAACGATGCGAGTGGGGGATGAAGACAAAGCTGAAACGATGCGAGTGGGGGATGAAGACAAAGCTGAAACGATGCGAGTGGAGGATGAAGACAAAGCTGAAACGATGCGAAGACTGCCGTATCAATCGCAGAGTTCCATTCAACATCTGGGTGAACATTGAGAAGACTGCTGTATCTGGCATAATAAACTCATATTAGCGTTCTCTGAACCACTGAATAGACACGAGCACATACCGAAGAACACGCTTGCCTGCAGGCTAGAAAATGTGGCGAGATTGTCACACACAAGTTCAATCGCAGAGTTCCATTCGACATCTGGGTGAGCATTGATTAGCTCTGTAGATAAAAAAAGATCGATATCAGTTGTATAGATATCATTGAACACATACCAGAGTGGGAGTCCAATGCCAGTGTGCCATGTTGGTGAGGCGTGGCAAAACCCTAAGTCCCGATTTGAACCACTTTAGTTAGTATTACGACTACCACCATCGTAAAGTTGATGAAATTTGCTCACCTTTCACGTCTTGCTCCTTCCACCACTCCGACTCACCAATGTCTACTCGCCGTGTTACCCGCACCAAGAATGCAACTCAGCGTCCTGGTCTTGTAGACGCGGTCCCGAAGAAGAAACGTCGCACGGCTGCAGAAGTAGCTGCTGAGCGTCAGGCTAAGTTAGATGCCAAAGAAGAAAAGGAACGTGCCAAGGGCGCTGGGATCAAGCGTGTTGCTGAATATGAGAAGAAACAAGCAGAAAAGGACGCGTCAACCGATGCTACCCCGCGGGCTGCAGTCTTACCAAAGTCAAAGCCCCGTCCAAAGCCCATTCCAAAGAAGACTCGTGCAAAATCACCCACTCCGCCTCCTGAAGACGATGGATTCATTTCTGATGTCGAGATGGACGACGCCGCCATTGACACCAGCACCTACAACCCAGATCCATCCCAAGCCTCAGAAACAACTGACACCCGCATGGATGGCTCAGAGTTGAGTGAAACTCCTACTTCGCCACCAAAAAAGAAGGCAAGGATCGACAAACGGGAGGGCAAGAAGGTGCCGGCTGAGAAGACTAAGGTGCGGGATGCTATCAAGGTGGCGCAACTGGAAGAGGCAAATGAGCAGGAGACGAGGAAGAAGAGGAAGACAGCCCAACCTCCCAGCACAATAAGCATTGACTCAGATATGGAGTCGAATGTCCTGGTCATTGATGCGACGCCTACAGCAGCTCACAGCAAAAGATCAGCCCTTCAGCAAGCCGATCACTCGGATGACGAACCTATGCTTACTGATATCCCAGCTAAGCCTCAGTGGGCAATGCCAGCATTGAGCAATGAGAACACACCTAAGGCGCGGCCTCGTGGTAGTCAGACTGAGGAAAGGGGTAGCAGGAAGGTGATGGAGAAGGCGAAGGTGAAGGTGACGGAGAAGGCGAAGGAGAAGTCAGATGATAAGGGGAAGGGGAAGCAGCAATGTGATAAGAAATCGGTTCAGCCGAAAAGGTACGAAGTTCCCTTCTTCTTTTCCTGTCGTCACTTGTCCATCAATATCATGCTCACTCTCGATGAAACGACACTTTATTATTTTTTTCTCAGTGATTCTGCTAGTGCTATGGACTCAAAGGAATTTTCAACTGGCATCAATGATTGGGCTGCAAGCATCCCAGAGAACTCAAAGCCTGGTAGCAAGGCCAACACCAGCCAGCCCAGCATTTTTAAAAATAGATCAGCCTCGCGCCGCAATGGATCCGTTCTTCCCCCCCTGACCAATGGCAGCACTCGATCATCGTCCAACTCAGTCCTGACTAACAATGTTTTGATTTCTCACACAGAACCGGTCATTCGCATCAAAGAAGAACCCAAGAAGAACTATCACCTTGGAGTCATTGATGGAGGGCTCTCTGACGAGGATGAGACTCAAGGTCTCGAACGTGAGGCTGCAGTCGCCAGCCCTCCCAAAGGGAAAAAACGAGTTACGAGCTCAGTAAGTGTCTGTTTTGACGTCATGTTTATTTCTACTACTACTGACTACTACAGGCTCTTGTTAAAGATTCCCCCATCAAGCCAATAGCCTGTCAAACTGAACGAGCGAAGAAACCCAGCAATGATGACCTCCCCGAAGGCATCAATCCCAAAATCTGGTGCCGTGTCTTTATCTCGACATACATACAATATGTCGCGACATTGGCGAATCCCTGGGAGGTTCCCGCCAAGCTGGCCTGTGAGAAGATGCAGGTGATATGGGATGCGATCTTTTCCCATATCAGCCACACAGTGACAAGCCTTAGTTCAGTCTACTACATCGTAAGTGCGCTCAATTTTACTAACACAGTACTAACTTAGATCTACTTCAATATAGGCTGTCCAGCGAGTTGCCGACTCCTACCGCAGCAACATTGGCTCCGCAGCTATCGCAATTGTCATTGCGTACTTTGAGTCTCAGGACTCGCTGAGGGACTCTGATGACAATCGTGCGGAATTCGCAGCGTTCACACTCAGCAACCTTCGATTCTTATACAAGAAGGCAAATGGTGATGACAAGTCTGTACGTACTCCTTCCGTCTCAATCAATTTCCGAGTTGTTGTTGTTGTTGTGCTAATGCTTAACGCAGAAATTCCGGGGCCTTTATCAAGGCGCATTTGTTGTGCAAACCTTCGGTGCACACTTCACTGCGACCCGTGGTGCCCAAAAGATACCTGGGGTAGACAAGCCAGGTGTACTAGCAAATCCTGCTGGGGGTCTCGCATTGTCATGTGCTGCGGTAAGTACTCGTCATCCTATTTATTCTCGAAACTCACGAACTGACAATTTTAACTAGGTCGAACGAGCTTTAACTCTCTGGTCTACTCGTACTCTCACCATCAAAATGGTTCAGGCCACGAAGAACAAAACCAGCATCTCGTTGCCGAAGATGATGAATCAGTCGACTGGCAAGGTGTCCTGTCGGCAAACAGGATTCAACGACATCTCCTGGGGTACATCGATGCGCGCCTATGCGAAGGCTATCATGAAGAATCTCCGCGAAGACAAGTTCGAAGTCATCATTGCATCTGCCATGGAATTCTCGAAGAAGAGTCGTCGTCCTGGCGATGACGTTGATGATGCTGCTGTGGAGGATGACCTTGATCTGGATGAACGCGCTCAGCTGGTGGACATATCCGACACCGAGTCCGAGGGAAATGATGGATCTGACTCGGATGTGGAGTAGGAGCCTCAAAGTCGCTTGTTCATTCCTCCTTGAAGCCGGCGCCGGTGATTCTTGTTTTTTTTCGTTGTTTTACTAGTACTACTTTGCACAACTTGAATGCTACTGCATGTGACTTGAACAGATTCTTATCATGCTGCGTTTGACTTATCTCAGTGATTTTATGTCCTTAAGGGTGCGCTCAAGCTCAGTTCAGGACCTTTCAGAGCGTAGTAAAGTAGTTTGAAGTACATTAAGTGGTGCGCATGCAATAAACAGCCCTAAGTCACCCATGCAAAAGTTCAGTTGTTTTTTACTTAATATTGACTTTTGAAGCTTTGGAGCCTGAAAGTACTTTGAAACAGTCTTTCTGCTAGTAGTAGCCTTAGTAGTACCGTACTACTAGTACTTCCTTTCACTTAGCTCTAATAATAAGCACAGTAATCAGAGCAGCTAAGTCACATTCAGCCGAAGACCCTATTACCTTTCACTTAGCTCTAATAATAAGCACAGCAATCAGAGCAGCTAAGTCAGATTCATCTGAAGACCCTACTTGTGGCAAGTCACAATCCCCTTAATGTTTTTTGGCTGAATCCGACTTAAAATATTTATTAAGTGATGCTAAGTTTATCTAAGGTTCATTAAGAATTTTTTTGATTTTCCTGATGTGTATTTATCCATATTCTGAATACCTACAGTTTAGTGCTGCCGAAGTTCAGTTCTGTCCGGTTTTTTCAAAATAATCGAGGACCGAGAACTGAACCTCGGTCAAGTTCACCAAGGTAGGGTGGACTCTGGGCCGGACCACTTCGAATGGGTTCACAATGGTCGGGTTCGAGTTCGAATCAGTTCGAACCACCGAACGCAACATGAAATTAGCAAAATTTTCCAAGTACAAACAATTGTAGTAGGCTAGACTATTCAACAATAAACATTTGAGGAGCAATGAGCTCAGCCTGCACCATTGCTGAGACATGGCCTTGACGGTACGCACTTTTTAACAGTTGAAGTGCCTCGAATGTCTCTGGAAGCAAGCAGTTGCGATGTGTGGTGCCGGTGATGCCACCACTTGAGAATGCCCATTCAGATGCTACCGCAGACCCCTGAATAGCGAGGTAGTCTTTTGCGATGCGAGCAACAGTGGGATACTGAACCGAGTGATGCTTTAAAAAAATAATTGTCAGCTTCAAGTTACACGGAATATTGAGGATATGAGGGAAGTGAACTTACACCCCACCACGCGACTACATTCTCAACATCCTCCAGTGGTGCAGCTAAGTAGTCCTCCAATTCCCGACGAGGCCTTTGATGAGCTGCATCATTTGAGACGCGAGCTTTGATTGCATCGCGCATCCAGCTCTGGCTGTAGGAACCTTGGCGTGAGAGGGATGGTGTAGCAGAATGTGTTGTCGTGGCAGATGAAGGAGGGGCACAATAATACTGATCAAACTAGATACTAAGTTAGTGCACAGACAATTTATTGAGATACCCATGGACTTACCACATCTTCGAGCCATTTCACTCCATCAGCAAAGTCTTGAGACGCCCATTTTGCCTTAGCATAGGCAACTTTGTAGTTAGGGTCGAGGGCTGCATGAAAGTAAGAGTGTCATCAAAATGAGAATGTGTGAATTAAGAATGGGGCACGTACCAAGGCAGATGAAGTAGACATCTGTGTCATTTGTCTTGCGGTACCACTTAGCCAGATTGTCCAGGCTGGATGTGACAGATGCTGAAAGTACGTCGAATGTTGAAGTGCCAGCCATGCATTCCCACATCTCTTGAAGATATTCGAGGACAGGAATGGTGCGCCAGACTGTAGGTTCCTGAGTAGCTGAGAAAGTCTGTTGAGCGTTAGCAGGCTCCTGCGCAGTGTAGTGCTAGTTAATACAGAAGGTGAAAAAAAGACAGTTGAAGGAACTGACCTGTAGCACGTCTCGAATCAACTCCAACTTTGCCCACTCCTGTTGTGTGAGCTTGAATGCCGAATATGTTTTCCCTTGTAAGTTGGGGACTTCTTCGCTGTCATCAGCAAGTTGCGTGAACCTGTTCACTCCCTTAAATTCAAATAAATTAGATAGAACATAACACTTAATATAAAACAAACCTAGTACAGTTGAAGATTGGTGGCCCAGGAACACGAACAAAGAGAGACAAATTGACCGCAGACAACGTGAACTGTACAGTTTATCTACAAATTTCCCACATGCCAAAATTCAGCAGAATTGGAAACACTGCGACTTTCGCACTTCAAATCAAAAACATGGCCATGTCTGGCGGCCACAGCACTGATCAGCTTCTCGCTGACCTTCAAAATGCAATCACAGGCCTGCCATTGACTGTGCCAGAAGGAACGGAGGATAGCCCTCTTGCCACACACCTTTGTGATTTTAATGTTGATGAAGAAGAGGGGCCTATAGTGATTCGAGGCACGTAGATGACGCGGAGAGAGCTAAATGGACAAAGTATATCTCAGTCTCTGGAAACGGACTGTAACATTGGCCAGAAACTATGTACCTAAACAGACAAAGTATCTATGGCTCGTTAGCTTTTGTCAATGGTAGGTAGACGTATGTACTCACATCTCAGTCTCTGGAAACGGACTGAGATGTTCCTACGAAAATGCAAACTCTTATAAGTGCGGATAGAATAGGAATGAAAATTGTAGTCGTATATTGGAGAGCACGAGCCGACGTCAAACGTTGCTCATTCGTTGCTCTTTCGGGATGCGCTCGTAATATGCTATTCCCTCATCGTTCCTATCTCGGATCTGTTGGCCAACGACTCAGCGGATCGCTCGGACTCCAACACTCCCCCTCGAGCGCATTCCAAGCTCATCGAGAGTCGAAGCTTCTGAAGGCGAGGACGTGGGAGGGGTTTTGTGAAAGTGTCGGCAACATTGTCATCAGTGGGGCAGTAGAATAGTTGGAACGTGCCGTTCCTTATGTGGGCACATATGAAGTGATAGCGAATGGATATGTGTTTGGTGCGAGATTGGAATTTTCCATTTGAGGCGAGGGCAATGGCAGCTTGGTTATTGCAATACACATACTGCAGTCACTTTACCCTCGTATAATACGTACAGCCGAGGTTGAAATATCCCTGTTCTACACGGGCCATCCCATGTGGGCCCATGGTATGTAGTATAGTAGATAAGTGTAGACTTTTCTATTGACTTTTGGTAGGTAGTGTATGAAGTATGTGTCTGATATGAACAAGCGGGCCGAGTGGGCGGTGGTGCTGATATATACAGATGGGCCGAAATTCTAAGTATACAGAAGGATCATGGACACAGGTCGGTCAATTGGTCCGTGTTTACATACCAGCTTCCACAATACACCTGCCAGGACCACCTCGGTCAAATATTACTAATGGATTGATCGGTCAATAAGTTGTTCATAGACCATCGGTCATCATATACTTGCCATGACAACCAGTCAGAATATGCTAGGTCAAACATAATGTATAATGATATGCCAGGAACTGGAGTAAACAGCCGCCTTGCAGTGTAACAAGGGCCACCAAGTGTACTTAATCGGTCGAAAAAACAATTGGCCGAGACATATGCACTGGTTTTGCTGATATGATATGCAAATCATATGGAACATGGGATCGGTCACATGCAGAATCAATAGGTCAAACCAACTCAATAAAACGACCGAGATGAATTCTGCCGACAGGCCGGTCGGTCACAAGTATGACCGAGTTACATCTGAACAAACCGAAGTATACTGTGCCGCGCCAACTGCAAACCCGATCAAGATCAAATGGTGCCAACATTTCAATGTCACCGGAGTCAATTTACAATTGAATCAATGCCAAAACAATGAGTACAGAACCAAGTGATTTACAGGAATGGTGAGCCGACCGACACATGATCTATGGAACAACTATATAATCCGCCGGCACACTTATTCGGATGTGAAAGTGTCACCCTGCGTGTCGGGACGACCAGGAGGGCAGGAGGCTGAGGTTTGACCGACTCCAGCAGAAAGAGAGGTGGGAGCAGCCAAAGGGCCGAACACGCCGTTCATGTACCTCATACCAAATGCGGTGGCGGAGGACTCGTTGCCATGGCTGAGCATTGGCGGCGGGAATGATGGATTGGCAATGACCCGCTCCTGCCGAAGTTTCTCAACCAGGCAGACAAGTCCGTTCACCAATGTCACGGTGGCACCGACATCAAGCTGCATGGAGGACAGCTCGGCACACATCGAGGAAATGCGGGTGTCGAACTCCTGTTCCATTGCATTTACCCTGGCGAGGGCATTATTGTCGGCCATTTGCATGTCAGTCACCTGAGTGGTCAAGGCGAGCACGCATTCGAGGATGGTGGGTGTTGAAGGAAGGGAAAGGGGATCGGCTGGAGGAGTTGGTGGGGGAATCGGAATGGGCGCGTCGTCAGTGGCCTCCAGCCAATGGTCAGCAGGGAAGTCGGCTGCAGAAGCTATGGCTCCGGGCTGGTCAACCATGATTTGATCAGCAGGCTCATCCGACATATCAGCGGCGATGTCGGTGTCCCGCTCGGCGTCAGTATCATGGTCCATCTCGACATCATCTTGACTGGTAGCAGACGCTTCTAAAGACCAGGGTTAAAGCATGTTATCGCGAAGCACAAAATCACTTACCGGTATCCGCAGTATCCTCAGATTCCATGATAGGAGTTGGTGGACGTGCACGAGAGGTCGCTCTAGTGGTCTGGGATTTAGCCTTCAACTTGGACGCCGGTGCGGCCTTTGACCGAGGGTGTGACTTTGGTGCCTGCGTTGTTGAGGGACGCCGGGTATCGACTGACACCGGTCGGTTGCACCGCACCTTCATGAAGTAGCACTTGGTGCAGGACTTGATGGCTTGGCCCTTCCTGCCGACCACAACAAAACAAGGCTCCCCTATACATCTTTTGCAAGGTGGAGCGTACTAAAAATAGTTAGTACTCTGCAACTGGCATGGACTTTCCCAACTCACCTCCTCAGCATCGGCCTTCAGTAGCCCACGACCTCTCACAGGCTCGGCGATATTCACAGCCTTCTCCTTGCCTTTGCCCTTTGGCTGGACTCGGCCGATGTTGGCTTCGGCTTCCGGCTGAAGATCGGTGATGTGGGAGGACAGAGAGGACGTAGTAAATCTCACCTGCTTGACATTTTTAGTCATTCCCTGCAAAGGAGTCAGCAATGAGATCGGCACCGAGATTATCACCATGCTTACCTTTGATTTTGGCGCCGCTGCACCTGAAGATTCGATGATCTTGGGCCGCTAAGGTGATGTAAGCAGTCAGTTGGAAATGATGAGAGGAAGACATACCTGTTTCACTACAATGGTCCCTGTTGGCTGCCTGTCCTTGTCCTCGGTGTCGGAGATGATGGCCTTCGACAAACACTTCAACACCTTTTGTTTCTTTCTGCCTGGCTCGGCATTTGGGCTGTCGTCACGGGATCTACGAGTGCCACGGTCAGACTGTTTGCCCTTGTCGGTCATGGTGCCAGTCACGGTCAGATTGTGAGCATGACCGGCACGAGGGAGTGCATCAATCGGCAGAACTGACATCCGTTTGGGAGCTGGGGGTAGGACTGGGGAGAGTGCTGGTGCCGGTGCTGGTTCTGGTGCTGGTGCTGGTGCTGGTGCCAGTGCCGGTGCTGGTTGTACTATAAGAATATTAAGTTACCAATGTGAATCCAAACAGGGCCGACTCACCATATCCAACAGTCTTTGGGAAGAAGGGATGGGACTTCATATGCGGATCATCAACCCGAACACAATTCCATTGAGGAACAAGACCTTGATTGATGGTCGCACGGACCTTGGTGGCTGCAGAAAGAAGAAATGGCGAGATGACTGAGGACAACCTGCCGTGCTGTTGGAGGGCTCGAGACTGTTCATGGTGAGCAGGTACATAATAACTATAGTAAAGCAAAACATGCACCACCTGCCTTGCAATCTCATGAGCCTGATCAACGACTGTCCGGCCATCTGCTTCCCCACGTCCGATTAGGCTGACCAAATCGCGCATCGATATATCGGTGAGCGCCAAAGCATGGTCGGATTCTTGTTGTGATGGCATGGTAGAGAATTGAAATATAAGGGCGACGATGGCACAGGTACTGATGCAACAAAAGGAGAAAAGGATGTGATGAGTATCGACCTACGAACGACTCTGTGTGGATGTTGAAGGAACTTGACAGAAGTTGATGCCATGCAAACCGCCACATTGTAATACCGCTGGGATCGGCCGAGACACGGAAATGGCCGAAGTGTGGTAGCGGGCGTCGGACTTCTGCATTGTTTATTCACCTTACAGTTCAAGCCCTCCAAAGTCGTCAATGTATTCCCACGAGAATGCCACTGACAAAGCTCGCAGGATACAGGACGAGCGTATCAAAGCCGACTGGAACTTTTTCGTCACTTGGGAACAGTGGGTGCCACCGAAGTTGTGTCCGATTCCAGCCACTCAAAATGTGCGGATCCCTGTGGGTAACCACAACATTCACATTCGACCTAACATTACAACTACATCTGGCCTGCCTCAAGTCATGAAATCCAACGTCTCAAGTATGCCATCCAGCCAGCCACATCCTGAAGGACTTCCCAAGAAACATTTGGGCGGTAAAGGTGTGTTTCCTGCTCTATTGACCATTTCTAACGGTTAAAAATATAAGTATTTGACATGTGCTGGAATACTGAGGCTGATCTAGTGCGGACGGTGAACACAACCACTGCAACATCATCGGCCGAACCACAATATGAAGGCCAAGGTACTTCCAGTGCTTTGAGGACATTGCAGGCATCTGACCGAATAATCAGTGTTTGACGTGTGTTGGGACACCGAGGTCGATCCGGCGCCGATCATTGTTGCAGACGCAGCCACACCGCCGGCAGCAGGTTCATATGACCTTTGTTGGGATAGCCAAGGAAGTCCACAGAAGATTAATTTGGCGCCAATCCAAGAGCTGGCAGCTACGAAGACTCACACCTTGGATGTCACCATGCCCCTGGCGGCCAATCAATATGATATGTGTTGGAATAATAGTCCGTCTGTGTCAGTGGATGGATACAGGGGCAAGTGTTGGTCATTACCACCGACCATCACTAACCATCATTCAGGCGATTTCGACATGTGCTGGGAAGATTCAACATCTGGCGGAGATGGTCACATTGACAGTGGGTTAGTCGCTGCACCAACCATCAACATGGTCAACTTAGGTTCATCCGAATTGTGGATGAAATCACTTGTGCTGACAATGACATTTAGTGGGCGACACACCGGTATTATATGATCTGTGCTTTGACACATCCTTGCCGGCCACATCTCCAGGACCAAGGGATGACTCACCGAGTCAGACAGTCAACTTAGGTTTGTCCGAATTGTGGATGAAATCACTCTTGCTCACAATGACGTTTAGCGGGCGACACACAGGTATTATATGATCTGTGTTTTGACGCATCCTTGCCGGCAACATCTCCAGGACCAATGGATGACTCGCCGAGTCAGACGGTCAACTTAGGTTTGTCCAAATTTTGGATGAAATCACTCGTACTGACAATGACATTTAGCGGGCGACACACCGGTATTATATGATCTGTGTTTTGATGCATCCTTGCCGGCCACATCTCCAGGACCGAGGGATGACTCGCCGAATCAGATAGTCGAAGCCAGTGAGGAATTGCTGCGCTGAGCAAATGTGAGGCTTGACAGCATTGACGCTGTTATCGGTAGGTTCATATTTCTTCTGGTCACGAATGTCATCACAACGACCACCTCCCTACAGCAGATGACCCCAGAGCACAATCCATGGATATCTTGGATGCCAACCAGGATTTAATTTCAGATTATCGGTATGCTCGCGATGAATTCCTCGCGGCCAGCGATGACATTGCCAAAATCGAACATCTGATGAACATGCACTGGCAAATTGATGATCCACTGCATATATTACTACTAGCGATGAGGAAAATGGGCCGGGGAGATTCCCCAATCCAGTAGTGTAGAAGACTGAGCAGGAATGACAATGTATATATCAAGTGCACCCAAAACCGAGCACCTGGACCGACAATGTTCCACACATACAATGTATATACTTAAATCATTGATTACCGAGCAGAATGGAACAACCTCTATGACACAAGATGCTGCTGACAACTACATGTAGTCAGCATATCTCTTAGGCTTTTGCCGAATTCGGGTGCCAAGCGCATTGTCGACCTTGCTCCTGGTACTCTTTGCTGGTGCATCGGGAATTGAGCAAGCCACCGATTTGGTGACCTTGGTCTTCTTGGCCGACCGGTCATTTATCGCCAGTGACCGCTCTCTGGGAGCCGTTGTCTTCCTCGGCGATCGGTTATTTACCGCTGGTAATACATCTCGGGCAGCCCTGGTCTTTTTCAGCGTCTGGTCCGGCACTGCGGGGGATGTCCGAATATGTTCAAGACCTTGACGAGTTGAATGTGGGCCGAAGCCATGAACTTGCTGGGCGGTATGATGTGAGCGGGCTGGCTGATACCTGGCCTTCATGCCAATATGGCTACAACTTTCATCTTCTGATCCCTCGGTCACCTGTGCAATGGGCATGCGGGTTTTGCCTGCTGCATAGGCCCCTCTATCATGAGAGACCCGTCTGACCGAATCTTTAATCGGTCGGTCTTCATAGGCCGAGTCTGTTCAGGGTGAGATGATGGCAGGCCGAGTTCTGACTCTCTTGCCAATGCTCTTGGGTGCCGGTCGGTCATCTGACTCCGACTGTTACGCTGACCGTCGGTCGGCGTGTGCGAACTAGGATAGGTCTTCTCAGCGACGGCTCGAGTGAGCCTACTGAAGCTGAGGGTGGTTCTTGGCTTGACAGAATGTCAAGGGTTCCTCCAGTGATCTCGGTAAGACGGCGCTCGTCGAGATACAGGGCTAGCGGATACATGCTAAGTCATATGGGAGCGACTTAGAAGTGCGGTCTCACACAAGGAAGCTGGTAAGGCTTAGTTGAGCAAGTTCTGGGATGAACCTAGTAGATTAAAGTAAAGTCTAAGTACAATAACCTGTCTACTTATATGTGCTACATATAGGTATTCTAGCTCAGTCTGTAATCTATAGTATATCGAGGATCTATGATAACAAGACATGAGGTTCAGATAACATACATGAGGCTTAACCTCTGATCAAGCATGCAGTGCCAAGTGCGACTGCGCATAAGTACATGAGGCACCAAGGACGCTCCGGATCTTCATGAAGCGTCATGCTGTATACATGCGCTGATCTAGGGTGACCATGAGGCGTACAGCCTCCATGGATCAGGCACAAGGCCGTCCAGGCCAGGGGCGGGGTCATAGCGCCAGGGGCGGGGTCACAGCGGTCCAGACCACTGTCTTTCTAGGCGCGGGCAGCGCACCGCCGCGCGGAGAGTCTAGTAGAGCGGGGGCAGGCGTAGGCAGAGCTGGGGCTCCTGTAGGTGTTACGGATGCCTGTAACACTGACGGGTGTCCCACTGGGTCACCTCATGTTGCATTTGCGCCTTTCCTTACATGGTAGGGTGCATGTTTGTTTACCTTCGGCAGAGGCACATCTGCATCGGTCTTGTCAGATTCTTCATTGGCGGAACTGACATGAGCTCGTTTGATGAACCTAGGCCGCACTTTGGGAACTCCGGCTGGTGATGGTGCAGCGGCGGCCGATGACTTTTTGGTTGGCATGGGCCACATGCCCTCATCATCAGCATCACCGTTAGAGTCATCAGACTCTTTGCTGACAGGAGCCCTCATCTTGCCCTTGTCATCGATCCAGGCCTTGAACTTCAATGTGAGCCCTACCTGGTTGTCTTGTCGGTCTAACCAACATTCCAACAAGGTGTTGGCTTCATTCCATTGCAATTTCGAAGGGTCCATGATCTTTGCGTCCTCAGGCAAGTATATGCTGGAGATAAATCTGGACTGTCCCTTCATTATGTCGCTCCAAGGCACTGGGACCTTTGGCTTTCCACATCATATTCCTGTGGCGGTGGGCATCAGATGATGCTGCAGGTTTTCTATCAACAGGCTTACGGTAATGAATGGTGAGAAATGACCGAATCATTCCCTTCTTGGCGTCAAGAGACACGCCCTCAATATCGGGCAACATCGGCAAACCCATGCGGTCCAGGTCGAACTCATGGTAAGGCTTGGGAACCCGGCGAGTGCCTCCGAGCAGCGTGCCGTCCTGGTCTTGATCCTGGTCTTAATGGACGTGACAAATTAAATGAAGCACCTCTGAGATGGTCTTGAGACTCACTGAATGCATCACCTATGAAATCTTCCCATGCCGGTAAGATGACCTGCCAGTCCTTGCATTTCATGAAGCTGGAGCCTATCCCGAGGTGTTCATTGAAGTCAAATCTGCCAAACCATGTAAGCAAAATGACCGACCGACCGACTGTATCAACTTGCCCGGATGTAAGTAGGCCACCCTTCTCATCCTTCCAGGAACCCAATACAAAGAGTCTCATACTGGCCTGAGTAAACATCTCCTTTGTGAAGTGCTTGATCATCTTTTCACCCTTCTTCCTAGCCGTCTTGGCCTGGACTGCGGGGTCAGGTGCTTGATTTGTCCACTCGTCGGCCTTTGCCCGGGCTTCCTCCAACTCATTGTCGCCCAGCCCTTTCATGATTGCCGTCATAGTGGGTTGATACCTCCTGAAGATTTCTTTCTGCTCAGGCTTCTGCCCAGTCTCATCCTCAATTTCTTCATGTATTTGCTGAAGAATGTCGGCCTTGTGCTGCTCTTCAATTACTCGGCGTGCTGTCCATTTTTTTTGCAGCTTCATTGGCGCTTTGGCATTGGCCTTGTGTTTCTTGTAGTTGTGGAACCACTGCCTGTATTTCTGTTTATGATGACTGTAAAGCAGCATGACCCTACATCAAAGCTGAAACACTTACCTCTTTTCGTTGCTTCAAGAGCTCTTGGTCCATCTTTGGAGCCAAGAGTCTGGCTTCTCTGGCGGCCGCTTTGAAGATTTGTCGTCTCTCGGTCCCACTCGCCTTCCCCCAGTCCTCAACATGGGACTGCAGAGTGGTGTTCTCTCAGTCGTTCAACCGAGGCTGATCCCCAGCATTTATCTTCGTCCGAGTCATGTCACAGTAGGTAGCTTGGAGTAAAGGACCTGGAAATGTAAGTGTAGGAGAGCGTTGATGTGGTTGATGGAACGAAAAATGGAAGGAAGCTCATGTGAGTAATGCTTCACATAAGTGACACCCATGTCATAAGTGAACATAAGGGCTAGATTGTGCCGAATAGTGTGAGCCCTATCGCTACAAGACTTATTGAGTGGTGTAGATGCATAGGTGGGTGGGTGGCATGAAATTGGAGGATCTGAAGTGCTCTTGACATATGATATAGACAAATCACTATCGGCCATTGGAATTGCACCATGAATATCCATGCCAATGATTTCCGAGAGATCAAAGTGACTATTACATACTAGGCATTGCATTTGGCAGTTGCATGTAAGCACCAAAATGTCCCAAAGTCTAAGCATCTCACTCCAAACAAGACATCCTGACACTCGCAGCACTACTTCGGTCCATGGTCAAGTCAAAGCCAAAGGCCTGGAGTCCTCCAAAGACATCCTCTTTGGTTCAATGGGAGAACAAAAGAACATCTAGAGGAGATACAGGACGATTTGTCAGAGCTTGATGTTACAACAAAACAACATCGGTTCATTCATCCCCCAGAAAATCGCCTACCAAGCAGCCATCCACCAAAGGACTTCATGTGGAGGGCGACTATGAACACTATGACCTGGGTGAATGCAACTTCGAGCCTTTTTGTGTTCGCAAGTCCATGGCAAGTTGACTGTTCACTTGCCTTGTCCCATGTACTGACACCAAATATCAGAGTCAAAATGACTATTTGCGCGAGTGGCAGCGCAAGACTGAGGACTACTTGGACTTGCTACTTCGGCGAGAGGGTCCACCTCCAAACAGGATGTGCTCAGTCTGTCCAAAGGATGGAGTCTACAGATGTCATGGTTGCATGGGTGAACCTCTCTTCTGTACTCATTGCTGTAGGACAGTTCACAGCCTCATGCCTTTTCATCGGATCAGTCAATGGACTGGGGGATTCTTCGAGGGCACTTCCTTGACAAAGATAGGGTTGGAAGTCCACCTTGGCCACGCGGGCAAGCCTTGTCCCGGACTGACCGACGAGTGGTGCGATACAGATGATGAGGGAGACCAATTGACTGAAGGCCCATGGATACCCTTGGTTAATGATTCTCGGACGACCACGGTGGTAGATACTTCCGGGCTCCACTCCATGATGATCAGCTTCTGTCAGTGCGCTGGTGCACTGAGCCCTGACATGCAACTATTCGAGACCGGCCTCTTCCCTGCGTCTTTCACTTCACCGAAGACAGCATTCACATTTGCAGTGTTGGACAACTTCCTGCTGGACAACTTGGAATGCGGGACATCGGCAATGAACTACTACAGTAAATTAAGGCGAATCACCTCAAGCGTGTTTCCTCATCTGGTTCCAGTGAGTGATGTGGATTTTGAACATTGCATTGCTCACAATGGCTGAAAGGACCGGTACAGAGAATTGATGAGGGTCGGCAGGCAGTGGAGACAAGTGAAGCAGCTCAAGTGGCATGGGTTTGGCCATGAGAAGCGACAGCCGAAGGCAGGGGAGCTTGCACTCTTCTGTCCTGCATGTCCTCAGCCCGGTGTAAATCTCAATTTGTCAGACAGAAATGAGTCCGACCCTGCATGGCTGTATTCCAGATCGTTAGTCATGGATGGCAATTTCAAGGCAGAGCATTTGTATCCCACCAATCCAAGCGATGAGGTGGCATTGACCGATGGCTTGGGCTTCATGGTCGGTGATGCCCGATACAAAATGCATCTATCCCAGGCGCAGGACATTGTGCAAAGGTCAGACTGTAACAACCACTGAGCGGTCAACCAGGCAAATGCCTCGCGCCACAAGCTGGAAGCAACAGGGATAGGCGGATGTGCTTGTGCGAGGCACGGGTGTTTTGTTCCTCATTCAATGGTAGACTTTCAGAAGGGGGAAAGGTTAGCCTTTCAAATTGCTACATCGGCCAGGTTCAACTGATGAGTCGGCCGGCCAAAGGCAGATGAACATGGATTATGCCCTGTGTCAAGCTCTGGGGTACAATACTGATGGGATCAATCGGGCATTCACATTCTATGACATTAATTGTCAATACAACAAGCATCTCAGCAAGCGGATTGAAGAGTCGCCTTATCTTGACCTTCCATGGGGCATGGACATTATTCCTGGAATTGGGCTGTGGCATGTTCACGGCCATCAAGATAAATGCTATGTGAGGTATGCGTCCAACTTCATAACCGGTGCCGCCAGGATCGACGGAGAAATAATGGAGACCCTGTGGGCACCCTTGAACATCATATCACCATCAGCAAGAGGGATGTCCACCCCCCACCAAAAGGAGTGTTTAGACTTTCAAATGAATGACTGTAATTTTATGAAGATGATATGCATCAGTGAGTAATATTATTATACCGAGTTGACAAATCCAAATGCATCTAGGCAAATTCCTTGGCAGAAAATTCAAGGAGGCTGTGCAGGGTGTCCGAGACAGCCAGTATGCATTTGACTGGTTAAGCGAGACCGCCGAGGGTGATACCCTTCACACATGGGAAGCGGAGGCCACTGCTGCTCAGGATGACCGACTTCATAATCCAAGTTCCATGGACATATATGAGGTTCAATTGACAAAATGTATGTTGATTGGAACATCAGTATTTAATATGCTGATATACTTTGGCAAAGTGCCAACAAGAAAACAACAAGAGTTACACCTGCTGAACCGTCAGGCTCAATGGCCAGCCGGTGAGATTCATCGGGGTGCTGCTACTTGGCTAGCCTCTGGAATTATGCTGGAAGAGGCTCAAGTAGCTCTCCTGATCGACGTAAGAAAGCTAGGCAAACGGCCGACCAACACCCAGAAGCTGGCTGTGGCCTGGCGTCGTGACAGATTGCAAGGCCAACTGGATAAATTTGTCAGGGTCGCGGTGACATTTCTCGGCGATGAATTAAATGGCTGTGACCATTTGGATGGCATGACGGTGATGTTGGATACAGTAGAAGCGGATTCTGTCGGGTCATCATCCGAGGATCCCGAGAGGTCAGATGACGAAGACCGATATGATATTCCGGTGAAGTTCAATCCCGAGACCGTGGTGATTCCATTGCCATCAAACATCGGCATTGAAAATGCGCCCTGTGGGGCGTTGCCGACCTCGTGCTGCAAGAAATATTATTGAGAGAAGGCCAAGCAAATGATGCCTTACATGCCATCTGGGTCAACTTGGCCGACAAGGCCGTTCTGTTTCGCACCACGGTTCGGTCGGCAAAATCCCAAGCACAGTCAACCAGGGCATGGGCTTGGGTGCACTCAGTGGACAAGGTCCTACACCTAAACATGCAGATATACTCAAAATGCCGCAAGCAGCTAATCCATCTCGGTGCCGATAACTTATTGTCCAAGTATTGGCTGTTGGAGAAGGCCAACCTCAAGGCTACCATGGTTGTTGCAGACCCAAACGCGCACGGTCAAAGAAATAGCATGTTAGCATGGTTTTGGAGCATTGATGTTGAGGGGGATTCTGCAAGCAATAACTGGATGAATGAATGTTTGCACTTCACCGACTTACCTGTTCCTGTGGGGTGCTAATATACTTACACAATAGTTTACCGTGTCCATTGGCTTAGGACACTGGCACTGCGTGATCATTGGGCAGAGGAGCTGCTGCTGGTTGGTCGGGAAATGACATGGATGGTTGAATTTTTTCTTCATAAATCTCAACAATGGGTAGGCCGAATGCAGGAGGCCGATGTACAGCGCACGGTCGGGCACCGGTGCTATGCTGCCCACCAGGCTCAAATGTATCTCCAACTCTCACAACATGCACAGGACAGCTTTGAACGAATGAAAGGGGTGGCTGCGGTTGTAGAGTGACAGGGGTCCATATGCGGCCGCGACTGCATTCGGACATTGGCAAGTGCCGAAGTGGATTAGTCAGTATCACAATACCAATCCGGATGAAACTTTTTGATCCAAACTACCACCAGCATGTCCAACTCCTCCACACTCCATACATATGAACTCAGTGACTTTACTGCATGGGATGCTGCAAACGTCTTAGAGTTTGCCACTGCCCGATTTGCTGCCATCTGGCTAGTTTGCGACCAGAACCATATACCTCGGACACCAGATTACAAAGCCAGCTTCATCTGGCACCTTCAATGGGAGGCTGATGTGAGTGTCTCATCAATCAGTCCATCAGCCGGTCGGTCAGTCGGTCGGTCGGTCGACATTATGTTGTAACTCATGCCTTTATCAGTGTTTTGTTTTCCCATACATAAACATTTCTTTAGTCCTCAACATTCATCCAACAATGCCCAATCTCCTCCGCACCATCATTGGAAGACTTGCCAGATTCCAAACCGGGACGATCACCGCCAAACAATTGCACAATGAATTCTTCGCACACTGCTCTCTGAATAGCCCTGAACTGAGGGCTATTAACCGAGTTGTGCCTAACTACCGGTACAATTGGTGGAAGGATCGCTTCGACCGGTTGGGGTTGGACCTGCCGGTCTTGAACATCCATGAGGTCATGGAGATGACCCAAGACCACTTCGCACAACTGGTCAGTTATTGCTCTCTTTCTCATGCTGGACTTGCACTTATGGTAATTGTTAGCCGACGGGAGCCATGCTTGTGCCTGGTCCTGTGGTGACTGGGCAGGTGGATGGTGATGCCCTCTTCAATCAAATCGTGGCAGTGAGGGCCCACCTCAAACATCTCGGTGATGCAATGGGTGCTTTGCTGGACCAGAAGACCCAGGTTGCCACTGCAGCTGCATCCACCATGTCCCAACTTGAGGGACCGATTGCCGACCTGGAGGAAGCACTTTTGAATTCTAGTGGGCAATTGTCGGGCAAGGATTGACTTCGCATGGCTTGTGCTGCTCTTTCGCCGATGTTAATTTTACTGTTATCACTGGCATTGTGGACATCATTACTAAATAGACATCGGTAGTATTGCCAAATTTACGTTGATTCTCTAAATGTATATAGTATTACTCAATGAATCTCGGTCATGTCCCATATAAGCTGACAAGTTATTATGCCTGTTGTTCTGCCTCCACAGATGATTTCAATTCCTATTGACTGGGCATTGCATATGACATGCATTGCTGGTGACTTTGTGCACCAGCTCTTTGCTGATCATGTCGGTCTTGCCTCCACTGACATTGGATGTGCCGACCATGCTTGCATGTCAGCAGTTGGCCCAAGTTCTCACCGATGCTTATTTAAACCCAAGTGAGTTATTCCTTGATATTGTCGGTGTTTTGCCAACCGCGTGGCAGTTCAGCTTGATATCGACATGATTCGGTATAATGAGGCACTTAACAAACGCTCCACCGGGCGGATCACAAAACATGAAGAGGCTCTACTCCAAAGATTTCCTTATCGTTCCAAACAATTGCTTGACAAGCCCTCAGTGCTTGTTGATTCAGGCGGTCATATCATCCTATGGTACCTTCCAGATGCCATCAGCCCGTGGATTCAAGTAAGCCCCATGCATTGTTGCTTGTCAGTTGACATTTAGACTGACCGATGAAGGTTCAATGATACAGCGAGGCACGAACAATGCTCCTGACTGTATCTATAATTGTTGTAAGGTCGCGCGTTGCCTAGTCTGCTATACTTGAGACGACAAGTGCGTTCGACCCTAAAGGGGAAGCGAGTGCAGCAAGGATCTAGAGGTATGCGCTGAAAGCGCTACTGGTTGGCCAATGCGAAGCGCGGGAAAGCGCAGGTGCGCGCGAGGCGCGAGAATGCGCGAAGCGCGGGAATGCGCGCGCGTGTATGCGGAAACAAGAGAGGGTAAGAGTGAGTTTGCTTAGGTGATGATATGATGTAAGACAAGAGAAGGGAGATGCGAGGTGTAAACAAATAGATTTCTACTATGTTCTGCTAGGTAAATAGTGGGTAGTGACCAGTAAGTCCTCTGTCGTTCTGGTGGGAGAGTAAGTTTGTTGGGAGTCCCCTCAATAGTATGTACTGCTTGCGCTTAAGTATGGCGCCTAAGCGCTGTCATGCGGAGCCGAAGTGCTACCGAGTAAGGTATGTAAAGATATATGTAAGTAAGGGTCCATGATAAAAATAAAGATGGAACGATAAGCAAATGTGAGAATTGGAAATATACGCACTAGGGAACTTGGTGGACAGTGGATGGATGCTTCCGGATGGCTGGCGCTATAGGGCGCTCAAGCGCGGGAAAGCGCGCGCGCATATACATCGTGAAGCGCGGGAAAGGTACGCGCGCATGGCGCGCGTTGTGCGGGAAAGCTGCGCCTCATATAGAGATAGCTGCAGGTAGCACACAGAGTGATGCTACAAGTTCGTGCCATGTACTCCCCAGTGAAAACTGCCATATTGCACAATGAGAGGCATGAGTCTCTACACCGATCAGGCCGACATGGAAGACGCCACCGTCGGCATGGGTCATCTTCTGAAGAGAAGCATCACCAGGGGAGAAGAGACCCAATGGCGAACTTTCCCTGGGTATTTCCATAAGAGTGACCGACGCCCATTAACCCCAGGATGCATCAACATAGCTCCTTGCTGGTTCCAGCAAGGCCGAGAGGTGAGGTCTGGGTGTTCCACTATGATCTATTTACTCACTCAGCTGTTCCAGCTGCATGGTTTTCCTCCCAACAGTGTGTTCTCCCCCAAGGTGTTGGCTGCATTGAAGGGCGAAGGTGGTCCTACAGTCATAACATCCATGCAGCACTCAGCACTCCTGGCCTCGGCGGCTCTTCAGGTGATGCATCCAGAGTTGTATTGGGCCTCAGTTACCACGCATATAAAACTCGCTTGGTGGGCCATGGACAACGGTCACAATGACATATACACTCGTCTGCAACTTTGGGCCTCGGTCTTCAACTGCACAGCCGTCATTTGTAACAGGCAATGCCCTCTTCACGGAGATCCAAGATCTGCTCCCGAAGGGTTCGACATCATGACCAGTGTTGGCCACTATTGTGATGGGCTGATGACCCTGTCCAACCTCAGTATACAGTTGCGATATAAGTCTGGCGCCATTGTTGCTTGCTCTGGACACCTTGTCAGGCATGGAGTCACATGTACTAGTGATCACATTGTGTGGGCATGGTTCATGCGCGATAGCCTTCACAACTTTGTGGGGACACCCCGGCCACAGTATGCGAAATATATGGATGTTGATCGTTATGTCTCGGTTACAGCCTAGTCGGACATGCGATCACATATAATAGTATATGACAGTTACATTGAACTTTGTAGATAGTTCCTTTACAAGGTTGAAAATTAATTTGAATTCATGTTGTTGAATCTGCTAGATCATCTTTCCTGGAGACCGACCAACCGACCGTGCTGATGTGTGCCGACCGATGCGCATGGGAGACCTGCTCCACGCCGGCTCACCTGATAGAATGATATGGTGCTCCTCATCGGCCCACACGACTTCATCAGGCGTCCATTCCATTCGGCCAACCTGATGGCGTAGGGGTACTTCATGTCTATTGGCCCATCTGACAGCTTCAGTTCCATTGGCCCACCCAAGCACATCACAAATTCATTTCCATAGGCCCACCCAATGCCATCAGTTCCATCGGCCTACCCAATTACATCGGCCATTCAGTACTCTCGGCCCACCTGAGAGCATCAGCAAATCGTTTCCATGGGCCCAACCGATGGTCTCAATTCCATTGGCCCACCTGATGATATCAGGCATTTATTGTTATCGGCCCACCTGATTTCATCTGGAATTTGTTTCCCTCGGCCCAATCGACGGTCTCAATTCTATCGGCCCACCTGAGAGCATCGGCCTTTCATTCATATCAGCCCACCTGGTTGCATCGGGAATTCGTTTCTATAGGCCCAACCAACGGTTGCGATTCCATCGGCCGACCCAATTCTGTCGGCCGTTCATTGTTATCCGCCCACATGAGAGCATCGGGAAATTGCTTCAATCGGCCCAACTAATGCTATCAGTTCCATCGGCCCACCCAATTATGTCGGGCCATTCATTGTCATCTGCCCACCTGAGAGCATCAGGAATTCGTCTTTATCGGCCAAACCGATGCTATCAGTTCCATCAGCCCACCCGATTGCATCGGCTGTTCATTGTGATCGGCCCACCTGATGGCCTCATACCCAATATTGCCGGACCGATACGCACAAGCAATGTGTTCCATATGGGCCTATTGATATGCACCTGAAATATCTTCTACATCGGCCCACATGATGGCTTCATGCCAACCTTTGGCATCAGCTGACCGGTGCACACAGCAACTATTTGCTACATGGGCCCAGATGACAGTATCACACTGTGCTGCCTTTCTTTCCTGGACACCGGCCGACATGTTAATATTGAGCATCATGATTTATAGGCCCAGCTGTGAAAATCATCTGTTAGTGAGCCGGCCGGCTGAACGTTAGACTTGGGCAGACACATTCAATCGGCCAATATCCGCTAGCCTGTGTGGAACGGTATATTTTCAACCTCAGCTGTCTGTATAACACGGACTATGTGACTGAATGGGCTCCACAATAGACTGGAGTGGGGAGAATGGGGGGCTCATACAGCTCTTCGGTGAGATACTGCAGGTATAGTAGCTCTCGTGCGACAGTGGTCAGCGCAATATACTCTGCCTTGGCAGTTGATAAAGTGATCAAAGGCTGCTTACGCGCGCTCCACGCAATGGGGCCGCCGTTCAACATTACGATGTATCCTGATATAGAATGCTGATGAGGCTGGGACACCCAGTCTCATCTACGAACGCCTCAAGGCCTCCATCTGCAGAGCCAAGGGTTAGTTCAAAGTGGGCTGTGGCTTTTAGGTAGTGCATAACGCGCTTTGCCGCCTCCCAGTGCGCCCTTCCTGGGTTGCAAATAAATTGAGAGAGGGTGGCGACTGCAAAAGAGATGTCGGGCCGTGTACTAGTGGCAGCATACATGAGCGACCCGATGGCGCGTTGGTAAGGGACATCTGCCATGGCCTTCAGTTCGGCGTGAGTGGCAGGGGACTGATCATCCGATAGGGTAGTGCCGGCGTCCATGGGCGTCTGGGCACTTTTGGCATCTGTGAGGTTGAAGTGCTCTAGCACCGTGTCAACGTACGCCTTCTGGGATAGAGTGATGGTGCGTGTAGTTCGGTCACGGGTGACCTTCAGACCCAGAAGCCAATTCAGCTCACCTAGGTCGGAGATTTCGAAGAATTCGGTTAGTTGAGACTTGAAACGCTGGATGTGGGATATATGATTGGAGGTGATGGCCATGTCGTCGACGGACATGGTCACGACAGTATGTTCCTGCAGCGTGCGTTTAAAGTAAACGGCTTGGTCAACCTTTGAGCAAGAGAACCCAATCTTTGAGAAAACACCAGCCAGCTCTTCCGCCCACTCGAAACCTGCTTGCTTCAATCCCGGGAGACTCCTCCTCAACTTCAAAACCTTTCCCTCTTGTCCTCTCCTCAAGTAGCCCGGCGGCGCCTTCATGTAAATCTCTTCCTGGACGTCTGCATATAAATACGCACTTTTGATATCTACTTGGTGGATTTCCCAGTCGCACTGTGCGGCCATAGTTAGAACGGTTCGGATGGTGGTCATGCTACAGGTGGGTGCAAATGTCTCAAAATAATCCACTCCGTATTGCTGACGTTGACCGTTTGCAACGAGGCGTGCCCGGAGTTTAAGCTTCTCGCTGTCCGGTCCGTGTTTGGTGGCGAGGACATAGTGGCACGGAATGATGTTTGCGTCACATCGTAAGTCGGTAACTTCCCAAGTGCCGAGTTTCTCCAATTGGCTGATTTCATAATCAATGGCCTCTTGCCATTCCTCACCATCTGGACCGTTCAGCGCCTGCTGCAATGAGGGTTCTGGCTGCACCGCAGCCATGGCGTACTGGTGAGTAACATACTCTTCATCCCCTGGTACTGACTCTTCCTCTTCCACCTTTTGGATTTCGGCTGCCAGGTTAGCACGCTCCCCCTCATTGAGGGCGCTGTAATAACCTGGCGGCGGGCGTACCCTGGTGGACCTTGGAGCTGCGGGAGGTTCTGGTAGGGGGTTGGGGGTTCTTGAAGGGGTGGATGGCGTCTTTGCTGTTGCCGGTGTTGCTGTTGCTGGTGTTGCTGTTGCTGTTGCTGGTGTCGCCTGGCCGGATATCGTTAGAGTGGGACTGGACTCCCCCTCAGCCACTACATCAGCAGCAACGTCCACGGTGAGAGGTGCGAACATCACATTCCTTTCCACCGAGATCTTACGTTTTCCAGGCCAATATATCCGACATCCCTTGCTCTCCCCATCTATGCCCACAAACACAGCTTCCTCAGCTCTCGCCTCAAGCTTTCCCAACTCCACCTGATGAACAAACACCTTCACGCCGAACTCCTGTGCACGCGAGAGATCTGGTTTAGCCTTGTGAACGAGCTCGTAGGGGGTATGGCCTGGAATGGCTCTAGAAGGTGCGCGGTTTTTCAACCACACAGCATAGTTCACCGCCTCTGCCCACAGATATTTTGGGAGGTTCCAGCCAAGTATCATAGCGCGTGCGAGCGAGACGAGCATGTGATTGAGGCGCTCAGCGACGCCATTCTGTTGAGGAGAATCGTGAATGGTGAGCTCTCGTTCGATCCCTTGTTCCCACAGGTATTTATCAAACTCTGCGGAAAGGTATTCTCCCCCTCGATCTGATCGCACCTTACGGATACGGGCGTTGGGATGCTGTCATACAAGATTCGCCTCGTACTGTTGGAATGCCGTAAGTGCCTCACTTTTAGCCTTCAAGAACCTGACCTTCATTTCATGGGAATAATAATCTGTGAAACTGATATAGTACATCGATCCACCTATGCTGGTGGTCTGGGCTGGTCCCCACAGGTCTGTGTGGACCAAGTCTCCGTACTTTTCGGCTCGTTTCTTCATTTCATCGGGGAAAGACTGACACGTGGCTTTAGCTTTTGTGCAGACTTCGCAAAACTCCAGCGCCGTGTTGGTGTCGATGTGAAGACTGTGTACGAGGCCCTTTTCGGCCATAAGCTTGACGGCTGCCTGGGACACATGGCCCAAGATGTGATGGGCCTCATAGAGGGTGAGTTTCGACTTAGCAACATTTGCTCTTTCTTTTCGACGCTCAAGGACGCTATACAGACCCTCTGTTACAGTAACATGGCATGAGTCCCCTGCCAGCAGACAGCCCTCTGCCACCGCACGGCTATAGACGATACCGGAGTCTCACCAGCTCTATGACGATAGATGATGATAGACAATAAGCGGCAACTGCCGGCTTAGATAAGCGGTCTGGACCGCACGTGACGACACATGACAACATAGGTCTAGAAGACCTATTTATGTTATCAAGATAGAAGGCAAGCCTCGTGCTGCCTCATGTACTGATAGAAGGATGCCTCATGGATCCTATCTACGATAGAAGCCCGCCTCATGGACGCTATCTCTGACTCATGTAGATAAGCAGATTAGAACCCAGCTTTAGGCTGAGCTTAGATACGAAGAGTAGCCTTATAAAAGGTCGAAGATTAACAGTAGACGTTCCTTACTTTAATCTTACTAGGTTTACCCTTGAACTCCTTGTCCCGCTAAAGCTACCTGCTCGACATCGACTCGTACCTTCAGTGACGCCTCTCACTGTCTGTAAACCACTATCATCTCAGCGTAACCCCTCGTTAACCACCACGAGCTACGTTCGAGTACGCAACCTTTGCTTGTCTGTAAAGGCCGACGACTCTCAGCACTCGGTACCACTGTCGTGGTTGTCGCTGTTTAGATCATCCTAGTCGCACACGACCGTTTGTCGTAACAAATAGATACGAATACCTATGAATACGATATGAATAAAATAACACTATCATTAAATATCTCGGGGCGGATTGAGAATATAATATGCATCAGGAAAACCCCAACTTACTTAATCTTGCTTAATCAACTTAGCCACATTTGTTTCCTCTCTCATGCATCATCTACCTAGTAAATTTTGTATTTTTTTAGTGTAACCTGTAACAAAATATGTATGCTAATATGACTGAACAACTTTTTCCCGAATATGTCAAATTTGAATTTCTAGCAAAGTAGGCTAAGTCACTAAGTACAACTTAAGTCTGTTTAAGGCAAGTTTAAGTAAGTTGGGGTTTTCCTGATGTGGTTAGAATAAAATATGCCCTCGAGATTATTTTATTCATATTTGGACAGCACTGATCATGTGTGGTGCAAGTATCCTTGTACATTGTCATGGGAGTTTGGGTAGGGCAGGCCTCGTAGAACGCTGTTAGGCACTAAATTCGGCTTGTGCGGGTGTATTAACGTGGACCTATGACCCAACTTGGCAGAGGGCGCCGATGGCTTGGATAGTCACATCAGGAGGGATACTTTACAACTCGTCGAGCGCGCAATCACTGTTGTGCGGAGACGGCGAAGCGACAGACCGTTGGGACGCTGGGACAGGTGCGGTTTTTGCAGGAGTCGGACGTGATTTTTGGTTGGTATATTCATCAGTGTCTTTGGGTCAACGGCGTGTAACTTACGATTTCTGGTCATAAGATGTACACTCAAATTTGGATCTTTAGCCTTGCTCTGACATTTCGTTCACGTTTTCCTCACAACTGTCGGATGCAGAACTGATCAAAACAAAACGTGATAACATCTGCACAAATTGAATACATAATCTGATGGAATATCAGATGAGAACCTCCATCCCGCCCCATTCCAACGCCCTGAACAAAGTCACATCACCAGCTCTTGCAGGATCAACTCCAACCACATCCACCCACCAAGCAACATCTTTCTCTGCTTGAATTTGTGCGTTATTCCAATTTGCCAAATTCTCCTTACGGATACCTTTGAACAACATGAATACGCGAGTCACGACGTCGGGTTGCGGAGAAATGCGTAAGGAAGCGGCGCATTCGAATGCCGCTTGAGGGACAAATCGGAGGGCAACATATTCGTGCTTGAGGATGGAAGGTAGCCAGTAGCTACCGCGACAGTTTCAGTGCTGTGTTTACGAATTAACAGCATGGATAGCGCATGTGTACGTACATTATGAATGATGTTCTAGCTTCAGTGTGAAGTCCCAAAACCTTGAGTGAGTTGTCGAGGTAAACGGTCACTTTGTCCACTGGAATGACAATTGAATCCGTATCATAGAGACTGCTGGATGATGGATTGAATGTATCCACTGGTTGCAGCTTTGATACTGCTTGTGAATTTGTCCTGCGAAGAGTAAGACAGGTCAAGAGAGTGATTTCTGTATCATCAGGGGACTTACTCCGCCTCCCAGAACAAGTACGAGACATTCAAACCAGAATTGTGTTCAGTCAGACTGCCATCTTGATGGGTGCGGACATTCCATTCTAAACGCCGTCCATGGTCTTCTGTGGTAACAACGGGATAGATAACAGAGAGGCTCCACTCAGGAATGAGGGAGAGCTTAACAGAAACATCGATGTCGGAGGGCGAGTATAGATAAATGACTGGCTTTTTACAAAGCGGACGGCGACGACAAACTTGAATATCGATGAAGTCACCATCCTCGATGTCGTACGATCCAATAGTCCGGTTCGCACACATCGTTACCCGACCAAAAAATGCCAGGATGCGCAGACCTGAAGCAGGAGAATGTCCCAATGTCTGACCAATATCAGCAACAAGCTCGTCCACCTGCATTTCCCTCGAGATTTTAGTAGTCTGAATCTCGCCAGATCGAAAAGCAAGTTTGATTGTGACTTGGCCGTCGCACTCTGGCGCCTGGCCTAATGGATTTGGGTCAGCGTACCATTCGTCATCGTTCCTGTTGTGTGGTCTCAATTTTAGTACTGGAAACACTTGTAGAATATTTGGTGCATACGAGCAGCTGTCCTGTTCGTTAACCTTACTTGGCGCCAATCGATTGTCAAGCGGCAGTGGGACGGGCAAAGTCATTTCCACATGCCGAGTCACCTCAACGGGGTGAATCCAAGGAATAATATCGTCCCATATTTCAGCCGTAATTTCCGCATAGTGGCCATCGCAAACAGCGAGTCGATTGGTCTGCAACATAACCTCATTTCTCGGAATGCTTGGGAATTTTCTGCAGGCGGCGTCAAGCATGGACTCATGATATCTATGAGCCATTAAAGGTTTAACTAGTTGTTCCACTCACATTATACGACATTTGCCGTTTAACCATGACCCGTTTTAGACCGTGTTTCAGAACAAGTTGCGGACATTGCCTCTCTTTTGCCTGAGTCTCACTAGTAGAAGAAGACATTCAGAGGTACAAATTTTGAGGCTTTCAAGTAGAGGGTGATCACTGACGACGTCGTCTATAATCAGGCTTGGTATGCTGGCACTGGATCCCTTAATATTAGTAGCAAGCGGTCTCTATTGCCACGTCATGCTATGTTCTGTTATGTTGCTGGCAGTTGTGCGGTTATCGCTGCTGCTCGAGCTCTTTGGTTGGTCTTGTGTGGCGTATGATACTAAGTGCATGATCAGGTAACAAATGAGAAAGTACTACTAGGGGTCGACGTGGACCTACTATTATTTATTGTTTGTAGCGACCAAATTTGTAATTGTTAATCATGAAACTGCGTCGAGTCTCAATCTACCATTTCCTCTCAATGAACTTTACATGTTCTCTGTCTGATCAGCAATTTCTGATAAGAACTCAAAAGCCCATAACTTAGTCCATGATCCTCACATATTCCCAACGCTGTTTGCGAGTGCGCCAGACTTCAAAGAAAGCAGAACATCCGACATGTAGACGATGGTGAGTGCCGAGTGTTTATCTTGCTTAAACATCGAATTGACTGATCGTTGGTTGTTATTCTGGTTCATGCAGCACTGAGTACGCACCCAGTGATACCCTGCATTACGAGAGACTTCGCAGAATGCCTGCATTTTCACAACAGTTCTGACTGGGTCTAAATCATACACAACCTTGTCCTGAATATCATGTAGCAGCAGCTTCTGGCTCTCCCACGTATGCACCAACATAATATAGCTGAAAAAGTTCGTGACCAATAACATTCGTGCGGAGGGGAGCATGGATCATTAATAAATGCAAAAGCTCTTTGTACTCTATGCTTTCTATGAAGGTGTTGATGTGCCTCTCGGTTGCACAAACGCCCAGTGGAGAAGGAGCGTTTCCAGTTGAGCCGTCGATGACTCGTCGAATGTGCCTCGCGCATGGCCTCGCACAGACCATGTAATGTAAGTTGATGGATTGGTTCGAAGTATCGGGGTAACTGGGCTTTCGTTTTCTGTATTCTTTCTTCGGCATGTTGAATTTGAACCGGATCTAACGGCGTAGTTTGAACCCATGTGATCTGACAATGACCCTCCTCTACTAACGTGGGAGTCGAGGAAGCACCAATCACAACTCGCGATAAGAATAAAAAGACTGTTAATTTTAGGATTGCTCTAATCATGATCGATCTGATCCCTTCAGTTGATAGCCTTGCCGTTCTTGCCGTCCTGTATGTTTTCTTTGTTGTCATTACTGTCAGGCGATTCATTGGGAACAGACAACATAAACCTCTTCTTCCTCCTGGTCCAGTGCCGCTTCCAATCTTGGGGAATGTTTTATCTATTGACACAAAGCAACCTTGGTTAACCTATACTGAATGGCATGCTACCTATGGTATGTGGGCAAAAAGTTTAGCGCTGATATGATGCTCATGTACTATCAGGAGACTTGTTTTTCGTGCGAATCCTAGACCAAAAAGTGGTTGTGATCAATTCTCAGCGTGTTGCACGAGCCTTGTTGCACAACCGTTCCCGAATCTACTCCGATCGACCCTATTTAGCCACAGTTGAACCGTGTGTTTCCTTGGTCTTTTTTGTTGAATCGATCTGAGATCTCTACATAGATTTGGCTGGATGTTCAACTTTTTATTCGCAGGTTATAATGATGCATGGCGTCTTAGTCGACGACTCTTCCACCAAACCTTCCATGCCGAATCTGCACTCAAGTTCCGCCCAATGCAGATCAGGCGGGCTCATGAGATGATCGTCAACCTAATTTCTGATTCTCGACATTATGATTCTCACTTTGCAACGTCAGCTAATGTATTTTCTCGAATATCGAGCGATTATTAACCTCTTCATAGATTCTCGTCCTCTGTTGTGATATCAGCTGTATATGGCTACGAGTCCAGTGCTCAAGATGATCCTTTGGTTGGACTCTTCGCACATTCAATGCAACTTGGCATTCCCTGGTTGACTCCAGAGAGGGCAATCATGATCAAAACTTTCCCCTTCTGTGAGCTCAGCACCTCTGACGAGGAATCATTGATATTTTATGCATTTTGTAGTACTGAAGTTGCCTGACTGGTGCCCAGGATCCTCGATCAAATGTGATGCTCGGATTTCGACCAACAGCATCAATGAAATGGTGGATGTGCCGTTTCAATATGTGCAGCGTCGTATGGTGACGTCTATTTATTTCTTGCTGGTAGTCTGACCTAATTCCATTCCCGCCAAGGCTGACAACTCACTCCTGGACACACCTTCAATGGTGGCCGAAAATTTGCAAAGGGTAGAGAAGCAAGACAAGGCGTTCAAATCAATGTTTGAGACCGCCTTGAAAAACACAGCTGCCACTGCTGTTGGAGGTGAACAGCTTTTTTTGAGATGGTAGCAACGCTCACGATATACACATTATGTAGGTGGATATGAGACTGTAAGACGTCAGACGTATTTTGCTGCTACTTGACCTTTCCACAGACCACCGGGATGTTGATGGTCTTTGTTCTTGCAATGGTGCTATATCCAGATGTCCAGAAACGCGCACAAGCGGAGATCGACTCGGTCATTGGAAGAGATCGTTTGCCTGCGTTTGAGGACAAGAAATCACTACCCTATGTCGATGCAGTTGTGCGGGAGACTTACCAGTGGATGCCCATTGCACCACTTGGTGATGCTCGTCTTTAAGTGATCTTGCATTTGTTGAAGACTACCCGATAGGAATCCCACATGCTACCTCGAGTGAAGATACATATGATGGTTACTACATCCCAAAAGGTCTGTTATTCAATGAACAGATGATCAATGGGCTAAATGCCGTACATCAGGAGCGATCGTCATGTGCAACTTATGGTTAGATACATCCTACTCAACTTTCAACGAAATATCAAAAAACCTAATTTTAGGGCCATTTCACACGATGAAAAGCGGTATCCCGATGCATGTCATTTTATTCCAGAGAGATTCATCGACATTAACGGCGCGCTGACGGACGATGACCCTGTGCAATATATTTTTGGCTTAGGCCGACGTATATGCCCAGGTGGGTCGATTTTTCTTAATGACATTAACATATGATGAACCAAGGTGTTGTTTGATCAGGCAGATACATTGCTGACGCCTCTATGTGGTCTGCCATTGTGACAATGTTGTCCACGGTAGATATTTCTTCCGCCAAAGATGATCAGGGCAAAGCAGTCGATTTCACCCCCAAGTTCGCAACGGGAATCACTTAGTATTTCATTTCCTATTATTCTATCCTCTCGTCGCTGATATTCTTTAGTCACCCTAAGACTTTCCCTTGCAGTATTTCAGCTCGTCCTCATGTTCAACTGGCGGAACTTTTGGATATGTTGCAAACCACCACGTAGTATATAGATATATGTAGGGTTTGAAAAGAAGAAACGATTGTGTATTTTAATCCGGGGATGCTGAAATCAATGACTGTCACGTTCGAGCTTAGCCTGATTGCATCTCAAAAAGAGGGCCACTGCGTTACTTGAAGAATCGTACGAACGGTTAGCAAGTCTTTGGTACACGAGAGGTCAAGTTCCCGGCTGATAATTCACACTTCATGGACTCACAGAAAGGAGTGAACGTTTCCGAGTGCATAAGTTCACCTGCACATTTGTCGGATGCAGAACTAATCAAGGCAAAGTGCGATAACACATACACAAATTGAATATATAATCTGATAGAATATCAAACGACAACCTCCATCCCACCCCATTCCAACACCCTGAACAAAGTCACATCACCAGCTCTTGCAGGATCAACTCCAACCACATCCACCCACCAAGCAACGTCTTTCTCTGCTTGAATTTGTGCATTGGTCCAATTTGCCAAGTCCTCCTTACGGATACCTTTGAACAACATGAATACGCGAGTCACGACGTCGGGTTGCGGAGAAATGCGTAAGGAAGCGGCGCGTTCGAATGCCGCTTGAGGGACAAATCGGAGGGCAACGTATTCGTGCTTGAGGATGGATGGTAGCCAGTAGCTACCACGACAGTTTCAGTGTTGTGTTTACGAATTGACAGCCTAGATAGCGCATATGTACGCACGTTATGAATGATGTTCTAGCTTCGGTGTGAAGTCCCAAAACTTTGAGTGAGTTGTCGAGGTAAACGGTCACTTTGTCCACCGGAGTGACAATTGAATCCGTATTATCAAGACTGCTGGATGCTGGATTGAATGTATCCACTAGTTGCGGCTTGGATGCTGCTTGTGAATTTGTCCTACGAAGAGTAAGACAAGTCAGGAGAGTGATTTCTGTATGATCAAGGACAGCCTGGATAGCGCATATATACGCACGTTATGAATGATGTTCTAGCTTCTGTGTGAAGTCCCAAAGCCTTGAGTGAGTTATCGAGGTAAGCGGTGAAGGTACAACAATTCAGATGGTGAGTCTGAACAATGTTGGGTCTTGCAGAACCTAGCTGCTATTCGACCCTAAAGGGTTTCTGGACCAGGCTCAAGGCTCAGAGAAGAGGAAATATGATAGAAACTTGCTGAATACTCAGACTCATAGTAGAACTGGTGAAAAGGTAACTTGATTATGTAAGCTACAAAAGTGCAAACATAACACTAAGGTAAAAACAGTCTCTGCAAGCCCAGCCAGAAATGAATCCCTACAGCGGTCACTTTGTCCACTGGAGTGACAATTGAATCCGTATTATCGAGACTGCTGGATGCTGGATTGAATGTATCCACTGGTTGCGGCTTGGATGCTGCTTGTGAATTTGTCCTGCGAAGAGTAAGACAGGTCAGGAGAGTGATTTCTGTATCATCAAGGGACTTACTCCGCCTCCCAGAACAAGTACGAGACATTCAAACCAGAATCGCGTTCAGTCAGACTGCCATCTTGATGGGTGCGGACATTCCATTCTAAACGCCGTCCATGGTCTTCTGTGGTAATAACGGGATAGATGACAGAGAGTCTCCACTCAGGAATGAGGGACAGCTTAACAGAAACATCGATGTCGGAGGGCGAGTATAGATAAATGACTGGCTTTTTGGCAAGCGCACATTTATTAACTCGCATAGTGACGGAGTCGCCATCCTCGATATTGTACGATCCGATACTCCGGTTCACATGCATCTCTGGCACCTGCTCTGACAGGGTTGGGACGATGTCCCAAACTTCGTCGACATTCCTGCTATGTGGTCTCAACTTCAGTACTGAAAACACTTGTAGAATATTTGGGGTGCGTACGAGCTATCCTGTTCGTTAACCTGACCTGGTGTCGATTGATTATCAGGCAATGAAATGGCCAGATCATCAAGCGGCAGTGGGACGGGCAATGTCATTTCTACACGCCGAGTCACCTCAACGACGTGAAGCAAGTCGACGATATCGTCCCATACTTCAGCCGTGATTTCCACATAGTGGCCATCGCAAACATCGAGTCGATTGGTCTGAAATGTGAGTATGTCTCTCGAAATGCTTGGGAAATTTCTGCAGGCGGAGTTAAACATGTGCTTGCAAGTTATGGTATCTGTGAGCCATTAGAGATCTTAATAGTCGTTTCACTCACATTGTACAACTTTTGCCGTTTAACAAGGACCCGTTTTGGACCATATTTCAGAACAATACATCGCAAAATTGATATCTCTTTGGACTGAGTAGAATCAGACATTCAGAGCCTAGAGGTACGAATAGGTTTTGAGGTAGAGGGTGACCACTGACGACAACTATGGCATGCTGGCACATTCGATCCCCTTTTAACAACAGGCGACTTGGTGGCAGTAATGCATCGGGCCTAACTCGGAAAGCCTTGACGTGTTTGGAGAGAAAAACAGTGGCTATTGCATGCACCACGTCATGCTATGTTGCTGCGCTGTTGGTCTTCTGTGGCGCATCTCTCTCTTTAGCGATGCATATACGTGTCTGAGTACTAGTGGGGGATAAGCTGGTTGCATTCCGTGCCGAAGGCCGCATTGCGGGTTGAGTCATCATCATTCATGAATGGAACTACTTTTAAGAATTCATTAATGTCTTGACTGCTGCTAAGTGCGAGTTCGATCGGTAGCATGTTATAGACCACAGTGAGAACTTACTGAGTTAACTGTTTTGTTGAGCCTAATCACGTTCGTGATTGAGCACCGGGCTCGTCTCAAAGGTCCTTCTCGTGGACAATACTCTAGGCTCTTTTTCAGGCTAAAGCTGACAACTTGCTTACTTACCAGCGACTTCGGATACCCACAAAGATCTCTTGCACATTCTCGGTTTTCGTAGCACCTACATACGTTGTCCGTCTTGCGAGTAACAATTAAGTCCTGTAAGTAGACTGTCTCATGTGTAATGGCCTGTGTGCTTCTGATAAGGGTTCAAGTAAAAGAAGATGGGCCCCTGGACTCACCAACAAACTTTTCCATTGTCGGATACCTCGTCTGATTCCAAGATCCTGGAAGACTTCTCTCGTATACACGATCTGCCATAGTTGAACCTCCGAGCACGGACCATGTCTTCCTCCACCAATAAGACACCAGAGATAACGCCATGCCAGACGATGCGAGGTCATACCGGCTGGGTAAACGGCATTGTGCACTTGCCTGGCAGACAACATATCATAACATGTTCGTCGGACGGCTCATTCCGCGGCCGACTATGGGGCCTAGAAAAGGGCGTACAGGCAAGGACTGGTGGGATGAAGAAAATTATGCAGTGTGGTCCATGGCATTGTCTCGAAACGGCAAGATAATTGCAAGTGGAGGCGATGGCAAGAAAGTGAGGTTGTGGGATATTGAGACGAGGAGGGTCACTGTCAATTGGATAGGACATATGGAGCGCAGATGGTAGGATCTGGGGTGGGACAGCAAGAGTCTGGGATGTCGACAGCGGCAAAACTGTCCTGACAATTGAAACAAGGAAAAGATGTGTATACGGTGATGTTTTTGCCTGACTCTTCAAAACTTGCGGCGGGCGGAGACACTGGTGATACGTAGCAGATGTGAAAACGGGAAAGCTTCTCAACACAGCTGGATTTTCGGCTTGGCCTGGACTGGTCAACTGCAAACGGGGAGAAGTGGTCACTGAAATTTACTGAAGTGCGTCAAATTTCCACTTCTTCCGAGTCAGTTCACTTCAAGGCAAAACTACTGGCAGAGCTGTCAAGAACCAGAAAATTCGGAATTGCCTCTGATGCAATTGTGCTCACAAAGAACCGGCAGTTTGATTCGCCCCAAAACAGTGCCTGGGCACTTAACATTATGCCGGACCCGTTACTCAAATGATAGTGTCCTCGAACAATCCTCGAAGTTTTTCATTCGGTTCCTGCCCCCATCTTTCTCACTGCATAGCCCTCTATATAGCTATTAGCTAGGTATATTTATAGCATGTTCTCAAAATGCGGGAAGACACAGTGATACTATGTAGATTGCGGTGGCATACAGAGGCAACACAATAGCGATGGGTACTACAGTCTACGAGCGTGCAGAATAGTCCTGCAGCATGTACAATCGTTAATGCGATAGTGCGCAATCCAAGTAGAGTGCATAACTAGTGAATACCACTATGGAAACAATGCAGGTGCGATAGCAAGAGAATGCGAGCGAAAGCAGACATGAGTCACAGCAACAACAAACGAGAAAATCAGAACGAGGGCGGATGGATTGTAGCATTTAAGTGAGTGCTAGGACCACTGGCTGCGAAATCTGTCACGCACGATGTACTCGACTCCAGTAAACTCAGCAACAATCTGCTTGACTTATAGAAAACTCGTCGGTGTTAAAACTGGAGGGCCGAGTATAGTACATAACACGGGGAAGAGAATCGGAAACAACTGCACCCGCTCAGGAGTTAGAGCTGGCGTACTTGGTATCGTACACAACACGAGCGCATAGTATGAGGAAAGACGCATCGAAAAACAGGAAGCTTGGCCCGAACATCGTCTACTTCTTTTCTGTCAAGTCCTTTGCTGCAGGTTGTTCGTGAACTTTGACCTCGAGGTTCACAACGAGGCGAGGGACGTACACAAGCGATTATCAAGGATGAACCCAAGAACCTTCTTTCCCAGTTCCTCTCCGTGGTAGCCTTGACGACAAATCTCTTTCGCTACTTCCTCTACTGCGGCAACCATAGGAGATTTCAGGTAGTAGCTCACAGCACACTCGACGAGCTCCGAGCCATCCAACTTGTCTGGGAGAAATGCAGAATACTCGAGGACGATAATGGTAGCTGCATCCTGTGATTGAGACTACAACCGTTCGTGTGGCGAGAAACTAACCGATGCCAGTCTGAATTATTCTGTTTGTAGCAGAAGTGAACAATGAACCCTTCACAGCCTGTTGCACACTCATATAGTGCTAGGAATCAATGCGGGGGGAAGCCAACATACCAAGGGCTGAAGGACACGTAGAGTATCATTTCGGTTGGTCGTTGCCTAGCCACAGGTTGAAAGTATGGGTATCGGAATCAACTCTACTGAGGAAAGCACTTGCCCCCTGCGAGAAAGGGATGTCAGAATTATGAGGTGGAAAATTGGCATTTGATTAATAACAGAGACGCACATTCTATTTGGTCAACGTAACGGTTGTGAATAATCAACCACCTGATTGTAGACAATGACTGCTGTGCTCAGGTAACTTACAAACTGTCAGGGGTTGGAACCGAATGAGTATCACTATATATTGGTGAATACCATTCATGGACGTACGAGCTAAATGAGATTGTGTGAAGTAACATGATGTCAGACAGGATATGATCAACACACATTCTGCGAACATGTGAAGAACGCAAGAGATTATCTAGCTGAAACGATTGACGATTGAAATAGACTTACATCCTACAGATCGGCAGAGAGTCAAAATGATTGAGATATTTAACGCTTCGCATTACGAAGGTCAAACGACTCACATTCTGCATAGGACACGAAAATATGCGAGATGAATGAACATGGAAAATAAGTTATCAAGGAGGGATACTCAACGAACTAAGCATTATGAGTAATGATGATTCGGCTCATCTGATGGAATAGAACGCGCTTACATTAGGCTATGGAAACGAGTGAACACCATTATACTATTGACCATCATCTGAATACAAGATATGATCAAGACACGCACCACCTGCCAAAAAAACAGTAAGTGTAAGAGCTGTACAAATGAGTTGCAGACGGAAAACCATCAAGGCACTTACATTCTGTCAACAGGTGAAGAGCAGCGATTGTCAGCATGGATTGAGGATGAGAGACCATCAAAAGTCCATATGTTCTGTCAATAAGCGAGTAGCAGGGAGGCATGAAGATGATGAGCATGGGTCGAGGACCAGAAAGCATCAGTAAATTCTCACATTTCTTGAACTGCCTTTTTGGTAACTTGCCGCCGGTTAACTTCCAAAAAAGGTGCGGATAAGCCACGCGCAAGAACTGTGACACCCACTTGCCACAAGCAATTTTAAGTTGAAAAAGCAGATGCCTCCTCTTGACTGGACCTTTTTCCACTCTTATTTTGGCCTTTTTTTCGATAATTTTGCCTTTGTAAGTAGTGCAAGTGCTAGCAAAAGTAGCAGCAAGTAATAACACTTATCTTACTTATTTTCTACTTGTTTGCGACTTAATCACACTTTTTGAGAGAAAAATGACGGCAAAACATAGCATTTCAAGCGACAAGTAGATTAAGTATAGAAAAAGTTGGACAAAAGACACTAAAAGGAGTTTCAGAAGCAGCAATTAGCGAAGCAGTAGCATACTATGAAGCAGTGAAGCAGTGAAGGAGATGCATGCAGTGGGCAACAAGAAAGACAACAACTAGAACCCTATGAGTGCGCGCTCATCCTCCGAGTCTTCGTCTGGAGTGGAGGGTGCACCACACCTCTTAAAGGCAATCTCCTTCGCCCGTTCCCAGATATCCTGGATGACCGAGTCTTGCAGGCGGTTGATGGATGTCATGTAGCACCTGGTCATTACACCGAAATTAGTGTCCGAGAACGCCTTTCGAGAGCCACTGATCTTGCCCGAGGACTTGTTGAGAGAGTGAGGGACCTTGACGGCCTTGCCTTTACTGTTCACCTCCAATTCGCTGACAAGCGTCTCGGAAGCGATAAGGCGGATGGCACGTTCCACCTAAAACACAGGAAATAATTAGCCGTGCTGTGAAGAGAGGGCAGGAAGATACATGCCGCTGCAGTGCAAAGGCTGAGTGCACCTTTTGCATGCGCTGTTGTGTGATGGTCGCCAATAGCACCCAAAGTAGCGCATGCGTGCTGTGTGAGTACCTGAATGATAAGCTCAGACTCGAAAGGGTCCTCCAATTTCCCTTCCTCCGTGATGTTCCCATACAGGAACGCTAACTTGACAAGTAAGCTCTCGGAAAATGCTTTGCGATCTTCATCAGTCTCGACATCATCTTGCAACGACAGGAAGTTTGTGTATACCGTGACAGCCAGTGGTGCCAATGCAATTGCGCCACTCTGATAGCCGTTGCAGAGCCTAGGAAAAAATAAAGGTCAGACATGAATAGCGTCAAAGATAACTCACTATAGCTATGACGGGTCCATCATTCGTGACGATATGGGGGATATCTTCATAGACAGCATCCCAGGTGTCCTGTATAGTAGCGTGGAACATTGCTTCCGACTCGATACGACCCCAGACTTCTTCCTGGTCTCCGATAGCAGAAATGAGAGTGGGAATGAAGGTTGTGCTCCACCTAGCCACTGCCCGAGGTCCTCCAGGAAGATGCTTGATCCTATATGAAGAATGGGGGAGGATCTCCACTGTCACCTCTAACGGATTCGCGGGACCAGCCTGAGGTTTCACAGTACTTGGAATGCTGGACATGCTGTGAGAAGACTTCAGCCGCTTTGCTGCAGGGGGGGCATTGCGTTTGACGCCGACACCGGTCTATAAATTTTGTAGTCAGTAGAATTCAAATAATTGAACCCAAAGCACACTACCGTAGAAGTCAACCGCAAGGACACTGGTTTGTACTCAGTCTTGACCACAGTCTTGACCACAGGCTCGACGTGAGCCACAAACTCGATTTCGGAGGAGGGTGAGTCTTCAGTCGACCAGGCCATCCTCGATCATGAGGTCGTCCTCGATCATGAGGTCGTCTTCGATCATGATGTCGTCCTTGATCACATCCGTTAACATGAGGTCGTCCTCGATCACAAAGTCATCTGTGATCACGAGGTTGTCCTCGATTAGAGTGTCCTCAATCAAGTCATCAGTCAGTAATGTCATCCTCAGCATCTACGAGTTTGCGCTTGACGCTGGTAGGGTGGGATAAGTAGGATGGAGCGAGACGTGGAGGCCGGTCGGCATCATAGTATCCTTTTGGAACCTGTGCAGAAGGAGGGGGTTCAAGATCAGATTCCCTCTCGGTATTGGAATCATAGTCAACGAGGGAAGTTACTGGAGGAGCGGTCTCCGCATTCACTTCAAGATCATCGTCCACGAGATTGAAGGCACCATCATCCGCGGTGACATCAGGCTCAATCGGGTCGAGCTGCTTGGGTGCCAGATTGGCATTGCGATGGGGTAACTTCGTTTGAAGTCGAGAATTCTCTGAGACCTTTTGAGAAATTTTGACACCCTGGAAATGCAGTTAGCACATAGAAATAAACTAGATGGTTGGACTCACCTGAGAAGCCTTTGATTTTGACATACGAGCGAGTGCTTGAGAGCGCTCGACTGAGTCGGTTAATTCGTCGTCTGCAAACAGAGTTGTAAAAAGATCCGACACGTCGTTGGCCCCAGCATCGGGAGTATCGATAGGCGTGAGTAAGGCACCACCACTACTCAAAGTGCTCCCCCTGGTGAGCTTAGAGGAGGGAGTGGCACTAGAGATAGTAGAAGGCGCTCCAGAAGCTCTCCCACGGTGCTTCAAGTTGGACTCGGAGGATGGCTTTCCAATGTGAATGTGCGTCCTCCAATTCGGGATACGACCGATATGACTGAATTTTTTAGAACCAGGTGGAGAGCTAGCATCGTCATCATAGACCATAAGATTGAAGAAAAAAAGTGATGTTTCGGTCAGATGGAGCTTCATGGTTAAAACGATTAAATGCCTTACACATCCGAGTCAGACGACTTATCATCATCACGTGCCTGTGTTGATTCGTTGGCGATAAGGGCACCCGCCACATCAATCGCATCTCTCACAGGTGTTTTCACTGGGATCACCATCCTCTTTCCCTTCTTCTTGCGTGCTCCTGGCATCTGCACCTCCAACTCCTCGTCTTCTTCACTCCCAGGATGCTCAATATTGGCACTGGCTGCTGATTTATCAGCCCTGCCACCATTGCCTATAGCGCCAACAGCCTTACCGGCAGCCGTAGTCAAGTCGGTGGTCTCTGGAGCTTTCACAGCCTTTTTCACAGGACTGAGGACGAGGACGACTAGGCTTAGGTGCATCAGCACGCGCAGCAGCTTGGTCTGTCTCCATCTTTTTATGAAATGCCGCAACGCGCTTATTAGTTTCCAGTACAGCTGCTTTACTTGCCTTCTTCTCCTCTTCTTCACGTTGGTCGTCGGCGGCCTTTTGAGCTTTGGTACGTCTTTTTGTACGGTTTTCGCCCCCAGTCAGAATATGTCCTGGATGCTGAGTTGCATTCTTAGGTCGAGTCGCCATGCGTTTTGGAGCTGCGCTGGTGGGCATGGTGTCAATGGAGCGTTTGGGAGGGTAAAGAAATTTGAGGGCGATGGTAGCTCACAACAAGGTATGTTTCGTCACCATTCTTCAAAAATTGTAGTCTAAGCTGACTCTGAATAAATATCTACATTGACCCTTACCAAGCTGACGTACCCACTAGATTACCGCGATCCTTTCGCGCCTGCCGCTCCCAAATGTTTGTCTACCAGTATTTTTCACCAGCCCCAGTAGTCTGAATATTAATTTTTACCCATAGTTTTGCTGCAAGGCGTCAATGTTCATCAAGCGCTTCTCGGCAAGCAGTTTGAACACCAACATTTACTAAAACCTGTCCGGCAAGGAGGCAGTTCAGTAACACTTTCGGCATATTTCGGGTGCTGTGAACCCAGAGTTCACTGTATTGGACACCTTCAAGTTTCTGGTGTTGCTCGAACGTCAATGAGCCTATGTAATTTGGGCGCTTTCAAGAACCCCCGAATCTAGCCTTCATTTGTGCATTTAGCCTGGTTTGGTCACATTGGTGCCGGTCCGAATTTCTCGTTCGCCTTCAGATATACTTTTCGACTGCCAACATCAACTTGGCCTATAACACATATATGCCTCCCCGCCGTGCTCACCACCTACTTCAGCTTCCATGCCCGGCTCCAGGCTGCGCACGCTGGTTTCGAAACCAATCAGGTCTCACTCAACACAGGCGTTCACTCCACCCAAATATACCTGCTCCAGGACCTCCTCAACCATCCCGGTCACCATCCCACCCTCGAGATTTCTCACCACCACCTCCGGATTTCTCACCGCCTCCTCGGGATTTCTCACAACCTCCCCAGCCATCACCTCCTACGCCCTCTGAACCAACTCATGAGGATTCGGACAACGCTGACGCAGAATTTACCGATTCAAGTGAGCGTTGTTATCGTACATACCATTCGATGTTAAACGGTACGTTCATTTACATCTGTACTCTTGTTGTTTTGTTTTTGACTTAGATCTATGCTTAGGACGACCATGCACGGCTGATGGAGAATTTCTGCCACATGGCGCCCCTCCAACTCCCATGCCACAAAAGGCTCCTGACGACTGGAGCCCATATCGCAATAGAATAGAATTTGAGGCGGCTGAGTTCGCGTTCAAAAAATGCCATATGTCTGCCAAAAACCTGGATTTCTTATGTGATTTAATGGCCGCAACTCTCGTGAAACACCGCGATGTCCCTCCATTCGCCGATCATAAAGATCTCCACAATGTCATAGATGCGACACAGCTTGGTGATGTCCCCTGGCAATCTTTCTCGGTTCAGTACACAGGAGAACGCCCTGAGGTTGTCCCGCCATGGATGGATGATGAATTCGATGTCTGGTATAGGGACCCTCGCGCGATGGCGCACAACATACTAGCCAACCCCACCTTCAAAGATGAAATCGACTATACGCCATTTCGTGAATACGATGCATCGGACAAGACGCGCCGTTGGAAAGACTTCATGTCTGGAGACTGGGCATGGAAACAATCAGTATGTTTTCCATCTATTACTGCTCGGGACAGAGCTAACGCTTCATCAAGGACATCATATCAAAAGATCCAGAGACGCATGGATCTGCGTTAGTCCCAATCATTCTCGGTAGTGATAAGACTACCGTTTCTGTGGGCACTGGTAACAACGAGTACTATCCCCTCTATGCCTCGATCGGCAATGTACGCAACAGTGTACGGCGTGCTCACCGCGATGCTCTTGTCATAATCGGTTTCCTCGCCATACCCAAAAGTACGTGTGTTGATATTTTAGATTTTATTGCGCCTCATCTGACTTACTGCACTACAGCTGACAAGAAGCATTCAAAAGATGATGCGTTTCGGATATTTCGTCGCCAGCTATTCCACAGCTCGCTATCTGCCATTCTCTCTAGCTTGAAATCCGCAATGACCGAATACGAAGTTGTGCGCTGTGGAGATGGACATTTTCGGCGCATTATATACAGTCTAGGACCCTACATCGCGGATTACGAGGAACAACTAGTGCTATCCTGTATTGTTAAGCATTGGTGCCCGAAGTGAGTATTGGAAGTTGTAATCATTATCCATCTGTACTAATAATACACATAGATGTATTGCAGTTCGAACGAACCTCGACAATGGTGGCATGGATCGCTGTCGTGAGCACACTGAGTTCCTTATTGGTGAGCTACACGGGGATGTATTATGGGATGAATTCGGTATCATTGGTGATCTCGTCGTGAGTGGAGCCGGCCGCTCTGCAATTCGAAACTAATATGTATTGTGTAGCCCTTTACGAACGACTTCCCCCGAGCAGATATCCACGAGTTACTGTCATTCGACCTCCTCCATCAGCTCATCAAAGGTGCTTTCAAAGACCATCTCGTCGACTGGGTAGCAAAGTACCTCAAGGCTGTGCACGGGACCAGGCGGGCGGAGGAGATTATGAGCGACATAGATCGCAGGTATGCCCTTCATTCATTATATTGATATTATCTTCTAATTTAAGTCAGAGTCGCTGCTGCACCATCATTTTCTGGTCTACGACGATTTCCTCAAGGCCGCGACTTCAAACAGTGGACGGGCGATGATTCGAAAGCGCTCATGAAGGTCTTTCTTCCAGCTATTGAAGGCCATGTGCCTGGAGATATGGTTCGCGCATTTCGCGCATTGTTAGAATTTTGTTATCTTGCGCGGCGCGATGTTGTCACCGAAGATACCCTGAACCAGATGCAAGACGCACTTCACCGGTTCCATCGCTATCGCCAGATATTTGATCTCGTCGTTCCTACCTTCTCACTCCCTCGCCAGCACTCAATGATTCATTATATGGACATGATTCGACTTTTCGGTGCCCCGAACGGACTATGCTCGTCAATCACAGAATCAAAACATATCAAGGCTGTAAAGGAGCCTTGGCGTTGGTCAAGCAGGCATAATGCTCTTGGTCAGATGCTTGTAACCAATCAACGCCTTGACAAGCTTGCAGCATCCCGCGTGGACTTTGATGCACGAGGGATGCTCACTGGCACTATTTTATCAAGTGCTTTAGCCGCTCTCAGTAAGATTTCTTTCTCTGGTCGTCTTCTCGCATACTCAAACAGCAACATACAGCACCGGATGAAGATGAACAGGCTGTCCCTCCTATTGCACCACAGCCAGATGCCCATGCCATTGAACCGCAACCAGACATCGATATCGATGACGGTGAGGTAGTTGATGGTCCAACAGTACTTGGTTATGTAGTGCTTGCCAAAACTCCTCGTAAGTGATACCATGCAGCGTCAAATCTCGATGCTAACTATTGTATCATACAGAACGAAAACGGGCGCGAACAGTAGCGGCGTTAGCACACGAAGTTGCTGTTCCAGATCTGCGACGCCTCATTCGACACTTTTTGTTCACTCAGCTCAACCAAGATGATCCCCGCGATCCTGCAGATGTCCCAACTGGTAGCTTGCCTCGGCATGAAGGCAAGCTCCAGGTCTTCAATTCTGCTGCCGCAACCTTCTTTGCTCCCAGCGATCTGAGTGGTACTGGTGGCATGCGACGGGAACATATCCGTGCATGTCCACTCTGGAGAAACGAGTACCCGCGCAATGACTGTGTGTTCATCAACACTGATTCGGACGCTCAAGGCATGCGAGGACTCGAAGTTGCGAGAATCGTATGCTTCTTTTCTTTCAAGCACAACTGGGAAGTATATCCATGCGCTCTCATTCATTGGTTTGAGAAGATTGATGATTGTGCTGACGAAGACACTGGCATGTGGATGGTCCGTCCCAGTTTCCACGAGGATGGTTCCCGGAACCTTGCTGTTATTCATATCGAGACGGTGTTCCGTGCAGCACACCTGATACCTATATACGGTTCGGAGTACATCCCTCACGACCTTAAGTTCTACCATTCCATTGATTGTTTCCGCTCATTTTATGTCAACAAGTTCGCTGATCATCATGCGTTCGAGATAGCCTCCTGACCGCCATGTATGGCATAGGTACGTCTTCAATTCAAATTTTGATCTGTTTTTAACGGTCAGATCCCATTAGAATATTTAACTCCTCGAGATCGTGCCTCTATCAACAATGACGGACTGGTCTGGCGAATTCGCAAAGTGGGCGCCGACGGTGAAAATGATCTCGTACAAGGGCAACCCTGCACAACGTCGAAACCTCCAAGACGACCTGCAGATGGGCCAGTTCCAGGTTCTGCTCACTACGTACGAGTACATCATCAAGGACCGACCTATTCTCAGCAAACTCAAATGGGTGCATATGATCATTGGTAAGTGGGTTTGATTTTTTTTTCGGTTAAGTTGTTCATGCTCGCTATCAGACGAGGGACATCGCATGAAGAACACCCAGTCGAAACTTGCACAGACGCTGACGCAGTACTACCATTCCCGCTACTGCCTCATCCTCACCGGTACCCTTGCACAGACGCTGACGCAGTACTACCATTTCCGCTACCGCCTCATCCTCACCAGTACCCCCCTTCAGAACAACGTTCCCGAACTATTGGCCCTCCTCAACTTCGTCCTGCCCAAGATCTTCAACTCTGCGAAGTCACTCGATGAGGGGTTCAACACGTCATTCGCGAACTCGGGTGTGGAGAGCGATCACGGAGAAGAGTGTCGAAGAGGCTATGAGAAATGGCGAGGAGGACGGCAAAAAGGTTCGCGTTCGTTCTACCTAGTGTACAATGCTACAACGCTGACGGCTTATATTTACAGGCCACGAGACACCGAGACGACACTATCATAACGAATGGTGAGTGCTCGTCGATTATCGGACATCTCTGTACTCACTGTAGTTTGGAATCACCCCACGCGCCTCACGCAACGCGTTTCGTCTCGTCTCGATCCCTGCTCCACATCCACCTCTTCATCCTTTTCCAAAAGCCCAACGAGGCCCCCTCCGTGTTCGCCTCCTCCGCCTCCGCCTCTGCTTCAGCCCGAATGGCAGCATCCGCCCTGATCACTACATCGCCCCACTGGCGCCTGCTCCCCCGCCCGCAAACGAACGTTTTTGAGGCTGCCATGGACTGTAATCAACACCATCTCGTCAATCTATCATAGCTAAAATGAGTCTTAGTAGTACTTACTTCACTTCTGTTACTTGCAATTGACGAAGGCACTTTTGATGGCTTATCGCTGTATTATCACGCTTGTTTGTCACGTGCTACCTTTTGATCAATTATTGCACTTGTTTGTCGCGCGTCTCCTTTCGTTTGCATGCGCTCAAGTAAATAATGGTAAATAAGTTGTAATTAAGTTTTAATTTTGCAAATAAGGGCGGCCAAGAAAAGTGTGAATTTACTGATGAACCATCAAGGCACTCACCCACTGTCGACAGGCGAGCAGCAGCGATGGATGGCGATCATGAGCATGGAACGAGGACCAGAAACAATCAAGGCACTTTACTTTCTGTCAACAGGCGAGCAGCAGCGAGGGATGGCGATCATGAGCATGAACCAAGAACCAGAAACTACCAAGGCACTTACTCCCTGTCAACAGGCGAGCAGCAGCGAGGGATAGCGATCATGAGCATGGGCCGAGGACTAGAAACCATCAAGGCACTTACATACTGTCGACAGGCGAGCAGCAGCGAGGGATGGCGACCATGAGCATGGAACGAGGACCAGAACCTATCAAGGTACTTACGGCCTGTCAACAGGCGAGCAGCAACGAGGGATGGCGACCATAAGCATGGGTCGAGGACCAGAAACCATCAAGGCACTTACCCACTGTCGAGAGACGAGCAGCAGCGAGGAATGGCGATTATGAGCATGGACCGAGGACTAGAAACCATCAAGGTACTTACGGCCTGTCAACAGGCGAGCAGCAGCGAGGGATAGCGATCATGAGCATGGACCGAGGACCAGAAACCATCAAGGTACTCACATACTGTCGACAGGCGAGCAGCAGCGAGGGATGGCAATCATGAGCATGGACCGAGGACTACAAAAAATCAAGGTACTCACATACTGTCAACAGGCGAGCAGCAGTAAGGCGTCAGTGTTGTCCTTGCTTGGCTTTGTAAGCCACAATATTACCAGCTGTTATCAATAAACAACTACAATCAATGAAAACATATCAGAATGTCTACAGTTTTAGCGCTGCGATTATTGATATTTACCATCCATGAGAACCATTACCAGGGATCGTCAGATTGAATCAATCTTCGTCTTACTTTGAGATGTGGAAACCACTTAGCAATGTCACGCTGATAGTCATAATTAGTGCTGCCGTGGTCCGGTTCGGTCCGGTTCAGAGGGTCCTGGACGAGAACCGAGAACCGGACCACAGAGAACCATTCTCTGTGGTCCGGTTCGGTTTTTTTCTGGTCCGAACTTGAACCGAACCCGAAAATTTTCAGTGGTGAGCGTGAAAAAAAATCATTGAAAGACTAGTTTACACATCAAGTAGCTACTCCAATGACATGGCTACATATGACTGTAGCCGCTGATCCAAGAGCTAACTGATTCGATCTATACAAATGGTGAGAATGAAATAAAACACAATAACAACCAATGCTTACCGTCGATGTTAGTGGGTAATGTGAACCTGTGGCGTCTGATCCAGACAAGCAATTTGAAGTAAGCTGCCTTGTAAGGCACGCATCAGTGAGAGTGTTTGCCAGAATTGAAATCATTTTACCTCCGTCGTCAGCGAAGGAAGACATTCAGGACAATGAGAGAGGTACATGCGGTTTGAGTTGCGCCTCCATTCTCAGATGTTGCCGTCACCTTTTTTTATACACAGAACAGGGAGAAAACACCTGCACGTCTCGAGTGAGAGGTGGCAGGTGAGAGACAGCGGGGTGAGAGACAGTGGGTGAGATACAGCTAGCATGCCGAAGAGAGATAGTATCATGGCCACCGGAAAAAATGCATTCGACAGCAACAGCTGAGCCCGGAATAGCGAGAATATCACGAGCCAGATGTGAGAGGTCATTGAGGTATGTTGGGAGTGGGCAGCGCACCTTGTTCATCTCCTTGACAACTTTCTTTCTCCCATTCCTCTTCTCCTTTCTCTTTCCCCCGGTGTCTTCCTTTCTCCTTCACCAAAGTGTCATCCGCATTCGCCTTAGCCACGCCAGCATTTGCTGGCGTGTGCTGGGCGCATGCGCTAGACACTGGTTGTTGCTGGAGTGGGGTAGTGGTTGCAGCAAGTGGTGGTGGTGGTGGCGGCATGGTTGACTCAATCAGTAAATAAAATGAAAACGGATATACAAATAACTACCTTGAGGACAGAGTCTTGAGAGTTGATTGATTAGTACTAATCTTCAAAGAGGCTAAAAGTAGCCTAATTAACCAATAGTGCAACTCCTGAAGATGACACTTTGACGTCGACATAGAGACTGACGTCGTCGTAGTTGAAGTCAAAGTCAAAGTCAAAGTTGACAATGGGTTCGGGGTTCGGAATGGTTCGGGAAGGTCGAACCAGAACTGGACCATTTGGGAAGATCTAGAACCGAGAACCATTTTCCGGTCCGGTTCTGGCTGGCGCAAGAACCATGGACCGAACCACGGAGAACCGGACCAAAAGTCCGGTTCGAACCATGGTTCTGGACCGGACCGCGGCAGCACTAGTCATAATCGATTTACTTATCTGCACAATCAACGAGTGTTCTAGATGATGTTGGAACAAACAATGTAACTTGCGAATCTGAGACTCACCCGATGGCACACTTGATGCAAAGCTCCAGATTTGATTTCTGTGTTGACACCAAGCACAACCGCAATTCTTCGTCGTCCAATGCGAGGGTGGTGCTTTCCAGTAGAGTGTCGCAGTTTGTATTCGGTTTGTTCATATCTAGGACGGTTCCTAATATCAAATTTGACATTGGACAAGTCAATCTGAACCACTTACTCTGCAAGTGCACGTAGGACTTGGGACGAGCCCAGTTTTTAGGGTTGCACAACCGATTCAAGACATCTGTCTTAGTAAACAGTTCCTCGACGCCCTCGGCAATCCTCTTTGAGCGTTCTTCGCCTGATACCCCTTGTAGTTGCTTCTTAATTTCACCATATGCGACTGGACGCAGAGCTTCGAACTTGGTGAACACCACGACCACGGGAACTGAAAATCGATCATTTAGTCCGAGCATGGCAACTGACGATGAAGTTGCAAGTTCACCGTGCCCGGTGTCGCACTCCCAAAAGAACTTCTCCGACCGCTGGAATGTTCAACAATGGTCGTCCATCGGAATACAATACCTGATGGCAATCAAAAGGCGCAGAACGTCGGAAGGGGGCTACTTACCAGATAACATGGATTCGCTCCTCTAATTTTGTTGCATGTGCGCGTTCTGTGATAAATTTCTTCATGGTCTCGAATTCTTCTTCGGATCCCGCTTCGAAACCACGTGAGTCGTGAAATACAAAAGTGGGATCGCTTTTGAACACCATTTCGTTCGTGATGTTGTGATTTCCACGCTGAGCGTCTGTCAGCCCATGTATGCCCACAGGGAAAATCATGCACACACCTTAATTGATGATTCTATGATGGCAGTATCGATCTACCCACGATTGATTAGCGATGGACGTGTGCATGGCATAGATCATCACCCGCACCTTGTTTCCTTGGGTATCGTAAATTTCTGGTTGATCCGTGGTGTTGCAGACCTTCTGAAGGATGGTCGTTTTGCCTGTGTTTGCTCTCCCCATGATCAGAACTCGGAAGCGCCTGATTCTTTCTCTGAGGTCCTGGGCTTCGATGATGGTTGCCATTGGGAGATCTTGATATGCGTTCTGAAGTAGAGGTAGTTTGGTTTATTGTGAAAGTTGTACTGCGGTACAGAACGAGGTCGTGGCGAGATATGGCAGCGAACGGACACGAAACAAGGGTTCCTATAGCTTGTGGCACAACAGCTATACACGGCGTCTATATCCTATCTATCTCTCTGCCAATCAGGCAACTGATTATACCCTCGCACAGATACGAACTTGCAACTATTCAGTCGTTCGTACGATAAAGCACAAGGATTACACAATGAATGATGCCGAATAATGAGAACATCGATAAAGATATTAACTATAATGAATGATCAGAATACGACGGAAATGACAGAATTTCGTTCTTCCCTACCTGTCTAGTTGAAAGCAGTGATATGGGAATTCTCTGTAAATGGAGCTCGATCTTCTGAGATCTTCCAGACAATTGATCCTTGAAACATCTGAGAGCAAACAAGAGCATGTCAGGATGTGAGACACCCTCTGGAATGGGTGACATCCCATAATGCTCGACAACGTCTGCATGTTTGGAGTTTTCCACGGAAGATGTTGGCCTGAGCATGAAATAAGGGGCGGCAAAGCAGTAAATGCCGTGCGTGTTGGCTGAACTCGAACGTTGACCACGCTCGTTGGAAAGGCTGATGTAGCGGGCCGCAGGAGCTTGTGTATTCATAGATAGCTCGGGGCAGGTTGGTATACGTCCGCAGATGAGTCCGACTGTCCATCATACTTTATAAATTGGCACATATATTGTCAAGTATCAAAGAAGACGTACCGGTCAATATACGCATAGATTCTCAGTGCTGGCGTGCGTCTCACTGGATTATGACATAATGCGTCCCAAGAACTCTTGAATATTCACAATGGACAAACTTCTTGCAGCCCCAAGAATCGCAATGTGCACCACCGTTTGACTCAACCCTCCTCCGACTCTTCCCCCACTGCTGGTGCCTATGAATGATGTCATCCAAGCTGATCCTTCTCGGTTCTTAGCGAGCTCTCTGGTGTCTTTCGACGGTATTGAAATCACATTGAGATCATATAGTGTTAACCGTCATGATGTAAGGTGATGAAGTACATGACCCTGCGAAATGGTTCTCCTGTAGGGATGAACTGAAACCATAAGTCATTGTAGTAGAAAGCAAAAGCAAAACAAGATAAACCTCTATACCAGTATCACGATCCTGTTCATCCTGCTGGACAGGTTGTGGGTCCCGATCCAGAGACCTACGAATATCTAACGCGCTACCATTAGTAGAACAGCCCCTACCAGGAAGCATGTTGCACAGCAGAGCTGGCATTACCAGTATGCGTTCAGGGAACACGTCCACTTCGTACCGGCACCTCGAAGCTCTGTATGCCGTCTCCATGTTCCATAAAAGTACTTGGTGCAGCTGGCTCTTGCATAATTTCTCGCAATCGCAGTAATATTTTTTAGTGTCACTGAATCTGTAAGTGTGGAGTCTTTGGCATGGTGTGTCGACGAAGGCATGATGTCTTGCTGACAGAATGCAGGTCACAGATATATTTTGTGTGATACGCACTCTGCCTGCGTTTAATCCAGACTCGGAGCTGTCGAGACCCTGCTTGCAAATTGCGCTCACAAATGGCAGTTGATTCGCCCCAAAACAATTCCCGGGCACTTAACATTATGCCGGACCCGTTACTTAAATAGTGTCCTCGAAGATTTCATCCGGTTTTTGCTCCCACCTCTCTCACTGCATATAGCTATCAGCTAGCTATATTTATCAAGTGATAAGCATCTCATCCCCCGGCACTTGATATGCTCTTTCTCCCAATGCCGTGGTCAACTCGATCGTGCTCGTCTCAGGGCATCAGGGAGCACCAAAATACTTCAAAAGGCCACGTCGCCTTTGCCCCTATACGACACCAGCTGATCTGATTTGTTATCGACGCCAGCACTTTTGTTTTGATGTCTTTATCCTTCTCAGTTCCGCCAAGTACCTTTCTTTACCCCTCCCAGTGCATGACAAACTCAGGACCTGGACAAACACCCTAAAGGCCCAAGGGTACGCCTGGAGATCCTCACAGTTGGTGTCACCGCGGTTCGAACAGCTTGCAGAATTGCTCTTCATTCACCAGGTTTGCGCTGTATCTTGGTTGAATAACACAACATACGCTGACCGCGTACCCTTGACAGTCCTGTGCCATCTTCTTCGCCCCTCCCTGCGCATGGAAGGCACCCCCCAAAAAAATCGTCATTAGTCCACTTGAAACTCGTTTTAGACATATGCAGTACCCTGATACCTGCTGCTACTCGCAGTGCTCCTTTCGGCGGCACCTAATATCCGGTGTTCATTGGAGTCGCAGTGTCCTCACCTGCAGTGATTCATCCGTTCAAGACATCGTGACAGGTGGCATCGCTGCGTTTTAAACAGATCTCAGGGTTGCTTTCCCAATCCTTATTCTGTAGGTCCATACCTTGGCCTAGTCGCATGCTCGTTTGGACGCTGTTAACGATATCAATATTTGACAGGGTCTAAAATTGGAGTCGTAGCGTCACCACCTGGGATCTTCGTGCAAAACACAAAGATATCTTTGCAGGGGGGCGGTGGTGTGTTTCAAAGAGATCGCAGAGTTGCTTGTCACCAGCACTCCACAGGTCTGTACCTTGACTTGGCCGTTCGGACACTTAAGGAACCCTGTGCGGGACATGGTTAACTTAGTATCTGGATATGACGATGATGACAGGACCCTATGGTGCCTGTGAGAGTCTTCCATATACCGGTACTAAGCACAACCCTAAAAACATGGGCATTCTCTCTTTGTTTTTCACTTACCCGATGAAGCAAGGGTAGGCAGGACCTTAGTTGGTCACATACTTGACATGGTTCGTGCACTCCTCCCTAGTTCTGCTCTTAACCGTCAGTTGACTTCTGTCCATAGTAGAAGCATGACGATCTACCACTAATGACGGGGCTGGGTGACCCCTGCTAACGTTCGTCTTCTCTTGCTCACCTTTTCTCGACTCCAGATCACTCATTCGTCCTTGAGCTTGCAGCACGACAACTATCAGGGAATACAGCAATGCTCAAGAATCCAGTAGCAATGTTGCAAATTTTGAGGCCTCGTCTTTCAATGGTCTCGGCTTCGTCGTAATAGAATGAAGTGATACCATTGAAGAACGGGTTCTCTTTTGCGGATACGATCTCATGCGTGCTGTATTTGGACGCCTCAATACTCTTGAGGCCCAACTGTGGAACCCACGTCACGCACGCACGCAGTCCCCGATATGTGTCTAGGTTGTGTCACCTCTAGACTACTCATACAACTTAACAAGACCTCCGATCATGTACAATAGACACGAAGACACCTTCATCACCATCTCGAAACATTGACTTCTGAGTGAGATTGAATCACTGGAGATACTAAGATATACATGCGGTTTTTACATGCGATAAGATCAAAGCGCTGTCAAAGCGCGAGTAGTGAGACGTGAAATGGAAAGGCGTTGGTATAAGTGCGAAAGGAGAATGAGACGATAATCAAACAAAGCAGTGAACGAGTAAAAGGAAAGGTGTGAGAATGTGAAATAATGAAGGAAACCAAGGCATACAGAGTCAGAATCGCTGAAGTGTCTGATGCAGCGTGTGTCCATCACTAGAGGCGAAGCCATCTTTACACGGCCTACTATTATAAGTATCTCCTTCATAATATAATACATTACTACCTGTGCAACTTGCACTGGGCTTCTAATTTCAAGTGCTGTAGAAGAATCGCCAATAGCCGGGGAGTAAGTGCACAAGGGTAAACCAGAGCTACAGACATGAGTCAGTAGGTAGAATTTTTAGACTCGAGATTACTGACGCTATACAGTTTGCACGACTGTTTGTGCGCACTTGCGGTCCTATAAACCATGAATCTCGCCCCGACAATCGTTCCGTACGCTACGAACGCGAGAGAACAGACGAGATCTACCTTCCAAAGTCTGCTGAGGTAGAGTGACCAAAGGGGGATGCCAATCATCATGGACATACGCGCAAAGGTAGGGAACAGAGTGACAAGAGTGCATCTTCCCGTCAATCGATCTCCCTCCTCATCTTTGAAATCTTGTGCGTGAAGTGTCGTTGCAAACACTACAGAGCTGAAGGCGACTGCACATGCTCCAATGTTATCAATACTGGACCCTGGTTATTGAAATATAAACGCCAGTCAACGACAAAGCTTGCTTGTGATCTTTGGGATAGTCCACATACCAATCACGGCCATCGCGCCTAATTCAAAATTTGCATATGCGATAGCCGTCAATATGTTCTTCGAAAGCCCAGTCTTATCGCCACCAAACTCATTGTACCAGATGCTGAGGGCTTCTATACAAGCGCTACAAGCGAGAGCCTTGATGCCGTACATCGCAGAAAATATCAGGCAGACTAGCACTAGCAGCCAGCGTACATCCGCCGCATTTTGGGCAGTTATACAACCGGCAGGGAGAGGGCGATAAGGCTTGTTTTTCTGGTCCTCCTCTTGATCTAGCATCTGGTTATATATATCATGTTTCAGGAGGTGCAGCCATATCCATATGATGATGTCTGGAATGCGATTTGCATTGGGATGGGAAGCAGCTGCAAAGGTAGATAAAGTCTAATGAACAAAGTTTGAATGTCAAGGAATATACAAGCAACATGAAGTAGAGACACACATGATTGGGATAAGAACTGTGAACACGTCTGACTTTGTGAACAAAAATAGTGTCACGATGTGCCCACTGATACGACAACCACTCTCTAGCGCTTGAGACAGCACGGTCTGATTGTTTGCTCATTTTTGAGCTAGCAGCCTACAGTTTTATACCCTGACATGCTGTGACAAACATTAAATACTGACCAACATAAAAGCTTGCCGAAATGTGTGTGGCAGTGGCGGTAACCTTGCAAACTGAATAGGCTACCCTTCTTTCGACCTCGGTCAAAGGTGACCTCAACTTCCGGGAAACACAAAAGTATTCCTGACCTTGCGCTCAGGCTATTCACAGCATCAATGAACCTGTGAACAGATCTAATGTTGGTATCTCAAGAAATATATCGTTGAGCATCGCAATAATTAACATACCGCTGATGGGAATGTCTTTACATTGTCGAGGAAATACCATTCTGTGGCAAGCACACGGGCATGGTAGCCAAATTAGCTCTGTGACCTTTTCAGTTGAATAAATATTAATAACACACAAGCACAGGCACATAATACAGTAACATATACCCGTCTCAGATGGGCAGCCGAGGGTGACAATGTACCAATAGGGACGGGCCATCCCATGTGGGCCCATGGCAATATTTGTACCATGATAGATGAGTGGGCCAAGTGAATGTGTGTACCCGAGATAATTGGATGGGCTGGGGGTATATAATATAGACAGTAGTATAGGAATGTGCTAGTAAATAGGATATTATGAATGGTGAATCAGGTTTACAATAAGAGACGAGTGGGCTGGATGAATGTGCACCCAAGGTAAACGGATGGGCCCATGGCAATAATTGTACCATGATATAAGAGTGGGCCGAGTGAATGTGAGTACGCGAACGGATGGGCCGAGGGAATATAGTATAAACAATGGGTATAGGAATGTGCTAGTATGTATAGGGATCTGCACGGGTACGGGTAACCCGCGCGGGTCACGGGTACAGGTACTACTGGGGTGCGGGTACGGGTCGGGATTCTAAGACCCGCGCTCTTACCTGTACCCCAGCTATACTCGTGCCTTCGGTAATTTTACCTCTCGTCCTCGCACACTCCTCAACTGCAACCGTCATCAACGTCTTCGCTCACCATGCCACTATCAACATCTTCGCACCCAGCATTCCCGTGTGCACGCTACAACCGGCACCACCACCAACACTGGCACCTAATGCGCCTTCCCAAGTCCACCAACTCCACGTTCACAGCGCGCGCGCCCGAAACGCATCAACAAGTGTCGACGCGATGCAAACGCACGCGGATGACATGCGAGGACGAAAGGACAAGAGAATCGAAGAAGGGAGAAGGGATGGTATAGAGATAAAGGAGGAAAGAGGAACTCGAGGAGACGAGACTTTGGGCATGCTGGAAGTGAGTACTCACATTGAAGACTCTACCCCCAGCAACAACAATGACATCATACATGTCACGTCGCCAGCACCTATCTTTGTGCACCCAGCACTCGCACCACCACCAGCACTCGCACCACCACCAGCATTCACACCACCACCAGCTTTCACGCCAATGCCACCATCCACAATGCCAATACCACCATCTGCGTCACCTTCGCCATCATTCGCACCACCATCTTTGTCATTCGCGCTGGCACTAGCGCATACCCCAGCGACACCATCACCAACGACCACTACGCCATTCCCAATGCGACGGATGCCATGCGCGAATGCCCAGTGCGCGCCCCTCCTCCTTCTTGTGCCATCCACATATGTTCAAGTCACGTCAGCATTCACTGACGTGTGCTGGACATATGTGCTAAGCACTGGTGGATCTATGACCCGTGGGTACACCCTTGATGGGTTGTACCCCGGGTCCTTACTTTGCTACCCACTGTGCAACCCGTACCCTTGCTGCGGGTGTGGGTTTACCTCGGGGTGCGGGTGCGGGTTGACCTGCCGACACCCCAGGGTTCACCCGTGCGGATCCCTAAGTATGTAGGACATCATGAATGGTGAATCCGGTTTACAATGGAAACAAGTAGGTCCAGTTCATCTAGCATCTAAATTTAATGATCCAGTAGGTATGTTATCAGGTAGATATGTGATCTGGATAGGCATATTATCCGGTACGTATATTATCTGGTAGTTATATTATCCGGTAGTTATGTTATCCAGTACATCCATCATGCATCTCAAACCTATCGTCTGGTATATCTTGGATACACTAACCAGTAAATATAGTACACCATCTGGTACAATCTACCATGTTATGAAACACACCAACCAAGCAACACCTTCCTTATAGGCATTCACACACAGGTCATGCAAGTAAACTGTATAATTATGTGACAAACTGTACCACACACATTGAAAGAACAACACAATGTTCACTGGTAAAAACCACAAGTAAAAATAAAAAAAGTGTATACTACTATTACTTGGGCGCATTACCGGAAGCGTTCTTAGCATGCCTAGCACTCACTGACCGACCTTGGCGTGATTGAGGTGCAAATGACCGGTTTGGCAAAGGAGCTGAGATGGACTGACCATCCTCTGGCGCATTTGATGGCCCGGTGACCAATGTGCGAAGGGTGCTAGTGGAAGGCATAGATTCCATCGGGACAGTGAGAGGTGGTACCGGAGGTGCACCAACTGGGAGAGGTGGTACTGGAAGTAGACCAACCAGATGAATCAGTGGAGCAGATACCACCATGGTAGGGATAGGGTTAATGGTGGAGGTGGAGGTAGAGGCGGATGTGTGTGCCTGCTCGTGCCTTGTGACTGGTGAGCCATCACCACTGGGGCGTGCATTAGTTGAAAATACATCCGGAGTAAAGACATTGTTCGTGATGGCTCGACCCAAGGCACTGATAGAGCCAAACCCAGGGAATATGGGAGTACCAGGAATGACAATGGGTGGTGGATTGAATGCTGGTGGAATGGAGGCGGTTGCTGCAGTGTTCCTTTGGTTGTCCCTCAAGTACTGGGCAATGCCGCCCATCTGAACAGCCAAGTGATCCACCAGTCCCTTCTGGGTGTTCAATTGCTGTGTATAATTAGCGTGCAGCCGGTCAATGCGATTGGACAGGTCGTCATGAATCATGTCATCGCGTGTGCGGAGCTGATCCATATTGATCTGAAGTTGAGCCAACATGGCGTCCATCTCCAAAGTAGTTAAAGGACGATGCTGGTGGGACTGAAGGGGTATGGGAGTTGTAGCAGGAGAGGGGGGTCGTTCAGTGCGAGCCAGATAGATGGGCGAGTACCGGATATCGTCCAGCATGTCCATGAATTGCGCTGGAGGCAAGAGGCGGTCATCCATAGGTTTGATCCACTGATCAACAGGGAAATCATGCTCAGATACTACTGGTGCTGCATCTGGGGTGGTGCCAGGACGACCGGGGGTTGTGACCACAGTGTCCATCTCAACATTGACATCCAGTTCCTCCGGGATGGGACTAGGACGCTCAGTGTTAATGTCTGGAGGGATCAATTAGTAGAAGCACAAATTGAAAGAAGAGACTTGCCTTTTCGTTTAGACTGCCTGCCAGTCTTGCTCTTTGCGGTGGTCTTTAATTGAGTGGTGATGGGTGTGACCGGCGGGGTAGGTGTGGTGGTCGGACCGGTACCGGTTGTAGGCGTGTCCGGTTCAGTTGGCCAGATGCATTTCATCCTCCATTTATTGCAGAGGGTGCAAGTATGTGCAACCTCACCTGTTTTGGTCACCCAGCTCTCACATTCCAACTGCATCATCGTGCATCTCTCACATGGCAGTAGAGGCACACCAATGGGTTGCTATTAAGAATCAGTATGGTGCTACCGGATGAGCAGTACCAGATGTCTTACCGGATGTGGACGCTTGGCCTTGCCCTTCACCTTGGGCTGGTTGGTTCTTGTAGCATACCTGGACTTGGACTATGATAAAGGGTGATATAAGCCTCACAAATCACTGGTGTGACAATAAATAAACATACAGGTTCTTCTCCTTTGGTCGGCTTGACATTTGGCTGCATCTGGATAAGTCACCAACCAGTAGAGATAAACGATATTCACCTTTCGCTTGTATTGAGAGTCATCACGGGGTTCGAGTTGATCTTCGTCATCGTCCTCCGGTTGGTATTCCGAATCAGTCACATTCTTCTCTTTGGCAGGTTGTATCGGCCATGTAGTAATGACCACGGCCGGTAATTTCTGTGAAAATTAATATTGGCTCCTTTGAGATTGAAAAAATGAGCATACCTTTTTCATCATGTTGCGTGTTGAATTCCGGGCCTGAGTACCGCTATGAGTCACATGAAATAAATGAACACGACAACTTACATCAACTTCCGGATCATCATCGACTTCCATTGTCATTTGCTCATCACTATCCGGTGACGGTGCCCTTGCCTTCGCCTTTCCCTTTCCCTTGTCCTTGCCCTTGCCCTTTTCATTTCCTTTGCCCTTCACCTTACGATTCCCAATGCGAATTCCATCTGTGTCAGTATCGGTGTCAGTTAAGATCCGCCTCGACTTCGGGGCAGCCTTCCAGGCCTTCTTGACCGGACGGGGAGGGCTCACACTAAATTGCCTTTTGCGAGGTTTTGATGGCCCCGGAACTGCACCGGAGTTGGTACCTCCAGGGATGCCGATTGTCGTATTGGGAGCCAGTAAAGTAGCGATTGAAGGCAGCAATAGAGGTGGTGCAGGTGCCGGTACCGGTGCCGGTTGAGGTACAGATACAGATGTGGCGCCAGCAGTAGGGGTGGTAACATTAGGTGCTGGACCCAATGTCATGGGGTACAAGGGATGCCCCTGGCAAATGTCCTCATTGCTCCCAACACGATTCCAATCCGGTACTTGCACCAAGCGCACGGTACCCATCTGAGCACAATGGATCTCAGCTGCCATTGACAGCAGGCGAAGGGGGATATAGGTGGCGACTGTCTGGTAAGAACGGATAGCATGGTTCTTGAAGGGAATGAATACATACAATACATAAATGAATGTGAAACATACCAATTGAGATGCAATGGTTCAGCTTAATCTCATTTTCTCTTCTTCTGACTGGGACCGCAGGACCTGTTCAAGAAGCTCATTCAGCCTGTCAAGAAGAGCAATCAGCGCCTGGTTGGCAGTGGCAGCAGCAGCAGCAGGAGTAGTAGCATTGGAAGACATTGTAGCAGTGGACGTTGGCAGTTGCAGGTTACCTTGGACAAGAGATCCGGAAGGGAACAATGGATGCTTGGGCAATTGGAAAATTACCGGATGTCCGGGTGATTCTGGAGATTGCTGAATACGCCGTTCAATAACCGGTTCTTGATTTTGAATATTTGGCATTTGTGATCGTGTGAATACAATTGTTGGTATGTCATCATTGTCCCATCGGCGTCATTAAAACTAACATTATCCGGCTGTATTTGATTCACACATTGGAGCCAAGGCACGAAGAGCACAAATCAACATGACTTTCAACCGGACGCCAAGTCAACCGGCGTCAGAAGTGTTAGACATGGGATTCCCCCACCTATATGAATTAAATTTCCACCATTCACCTGATCCAATGAAGAGCCCTTTAAACTGTCTGGCAGTCAATCGTCCGGCCAGTACCTCGGGTATGTCTCCAGTATGTATCTAATATATTGCATAACTCATTTTTCCAATTCAGCCAAAGAGATTCCACCGCAAGACAGTCCTCTGGACATGTGTTTCGATGCACTTCTGGTTCAACATGAGCATCCGGACCAGATGCCTTTGGATATGGGCTTTGGCATGCATCCGGTTGATCATGCACCTCCGGCTCAACATGAGCATCCAGACCAGATGCCTTTGGATATGGGCTTTGGCATGCATCCGGTTGATCATGCACCTCTGGCTCAACATGAGCATCCGGACCAGATGTCTTTGGATATGGGCTTTGGCATGCATCCGGTTGATCATGCACCTCTGGCTCAACATGAGCATCTGGACCAGATGTCTTTGGATATGGGCTTTGGCATCAATCCGGTTGATCATCTACCAGATCAGTCAGGTGAGTCTGATCATTGTGATGGTTTCCACTGTTAAATATTGATTTAGTTGATCTTGAACCGGAAGACAGGCCTTTGGATATGGGCTTTGGTATCCATCCGGTTCATGATTTTCCGGATCAGTCATGTAAGTCTCTTCATTCATTGGTAGCACCGTTAAATGTGAATTCAGTGGATAATCGACTTGACGACATGCATTTGGACATGGGATTTGAGACGCTGGATCCGGTACATGTTCTGCCTGATCACTCGGGTGAGTCATCCCATGCAACATCACATTGTAAATTACTTAAATTCTAGCATAGTTGGTGGACCGGAACCCATCGGATTTGTTATCCAGCGTGCTGTACAAGATTTGTGCTTGGCGATCCACTGGTTGGAGATGGAAAGGAATCATGGTACAATGTCACCGGAAGAAGTGTCTGTCAGCTGGGAAGTTCTTCAGTCCACCAATGAGTTGTTGTTGTCATTTCAATTGATATCAATATACCGACTGTCGACTTGATATATATACAGTCAATACTCTACCCCTTGTATAGTACATTCAATGAATCTCAAGGATTACTCTTTTTGCATGTAATTAACTTTATAAGACACCTTTGCAGTTCTAGTCGACCACTTTGGCTCCAGATTGTGGACTTGAGCTCCATCTCTTTTGGCTTTCTTACCAGTGGCCTGTGTGGTGGAAGGAGCTGTTCGTTCGGGTGCAGGTATCTTATTCCTCGTCTCCTTCATCCGGATGGCTGATGCAGGACCTACTAAGTGACTTCCACGGGCATCGTTTGAAGGCAGTGGTGCCCTATCAAGGTTACTGGATGATTCTGCTGAAGGAGTGCCAGCATTGTCCTCCAATGGTTTGTTGCGCCTAATGACATTTGGTTTGGCTTTCTTGACCGGTAGGCAGGAATCTTGCTCTGAATCAGATTGGACAGCCCTGCCCCGCTTTCTGATTGATTTCAGCTTTGAAGGCCGGGATTGGACTCCTTCATGACATTCGCCTTCATCACCAAACTCACCCTCACTACTCAACTCCTGTTCCACCCTTCCGGTCGGCTTCCTGGATGACCTTCCGGTTGACTTGCTAGGCAGTTGTTCAACTGGAACAGATCGGACAGCTCTGCCCCGCTTTCCGACTGATGCGAGCTTTGAAGTTGATAATTGAATTTCTTCATCGCCTTGAGCTTCATCAAGATCCTCACTCTCACCACTTGACTCCTGTTCCACCCTTCCAGTCTGCCGTCTGGATGACTTTCCGGTCGTGCCTGCAGGTTTTTTAACTGGAGCAAATTGGACATCTCTGCCCCGCTTTCCGGCCAATGTGAGCTTTGAAGGCGGTAATTGAACCTCTTCATCACCTTCACCATTACCATCCTCACTCTCACTACTTGAGTCTGGTTCCACCCTTCTGGTTGGCTTCCTGGATGACTTTCCGGTCGACTTTGCAGGTCATTTTTTAACCAGAACCTTGGTCTTTGCTGTTGCTTGACTGCATATAGTGCTAGAGTCGCACCCTGTGATCTTCTCCACCGGTTCTCTCATCTCCTTCTCCTGGTCTTGCCAGGCTTTGAATTCAAATGTTGGCCGAACCTTGTCCTTTTGTCGCTGATGCCAAAACTCTAAGAGCCAGTCAGCCTCATGCCACTGAAGCTTTGACGGATCCTGGATCTTCCCACCGGATAATAAAAACTTGGCCTCGATAAAATCATCCTGAGCCTCCCTCACTGCAGACCAAGGGACAGACACCTTAGGCTTTTGACTGCAAAACCCTACAAAACACATAGTTGCTTTATCAACTCTCAGGATATTTGATTTGTCAAACTTACTGTAGTGTTTTGTGAGGAATGTCCGGATCAGAGACTTTTTGTCCTCCAGGTTAAGTGACTTCATATCCGGTATGACCGGCAGCCCATAGGTATCCACCTCCAAAGCGAATTCCTCCTTCTTTCTCCTTTGGTTTCTGTTCTCCTTTTCCTCCCTGTCCTCATTGCCATCCTCATCATCATTCCGGTCAATGCTGGTATTACGACATGATGTTAGTACTTGACCGGATCAATCCACATTGCACAAACAAGCTCACCGAACTCTTCTCCAACATAGGCATTCCACTCCGGTAACATGGGCTTCCAGTCCTTTGTATCTGTGAAACTACTGCCCTCTAACTTGTCATTGAAGTCAATTCTTATGATGAGATCAGGCCATCTTTACCGGCTGAGAGAATGAAAATGTCACTCACCCATTGATCCTCACTTCGCCTTCCTCAGTTTTCCATGCCGACAATATGAATATCCTCATACCAGCCTGCCTCCATAACTGAGTCGCAAGATCCTTCATCATACCAGGAGCTTTCTTCTGAGCAAACTCAGCCTGGACATCTGTAGGAGGAGCCCTGCTAGACCATTCTATCGCAGTCTTATTTGCTTCCTCTAGCTGCTCTTCAGATAAACCACCCATAATTGCATTGACCGCACCCTGGTAGTTTTTAATCATTTCCTTCCCTCCTGGCCTTGCTCCAGTCTTTTCAAGGATCTCCTTCTTGTACTGGTGTTCTATCACCAACCGGGCAGTCCATTTCTTACTGAACTTGCTTTGTTTTTTGAGAGTCTTTTCAGCTCTCCAGTTATATAACCAGTCCCGGTACATCTGAATACATCATGAGCATTTATACAATTAGAGGATCAGCTGCTCACAGATTTCCTTGTCTTCAAAAGCCTGGCATCCATCTTAGGGGCTTGCATCTTGGCCTCTTTTATGACCGCCCTCAGAATTGTTTTTCTATCCTTACCGGTGGCTTCCTTCCATTCTTCTAGGTGAGATTGTAAGACCACCAGCTCTTCCTCAGTCAATTTCTGCTTGGTCTTTTCAGGGCTGTGTACTGATGAGTTGGATCTGTTACGCTGACCGTCGGTCGGCGTGTGTGAACTAGGATAGGTCTTCTCAGCGACGGCTCGAGTGAGCCTACTGAAGCTGAGGGTGGTTCTCGGCTTGACGGAATGTCAAGGGTTCCTCCGGCGATCTCGGTAAGACGGCACTCGTCGAGATGCAGGGCTAGCGGATACGTGCTAAGTCGTATGGGAGTGGCTTAGAAGTGTGGTCTCACATAAGGAAGCTGGTAAGGCTTAGATGAGCAAGTTCTGGGATGAACCTAGTAGATTAAAGTAAAGTCTAAGTACAATAATCCTGTCTACTTATAGGGAAGTACTACAAGTATTCTAGCTCAGTCTGTAATCAATAATATATCTATGATCTATGATAACAAGACATGAGATTCAGATAAGTACATGAGGCTTAACCTCTGATCAAGCATGCTGCGCCAAGGGCAGCTGCGCATAGGTACAGGAAGCGCCAGGAGCACTCTGGATCTTCATGAAGCGACATGCGGTATGCATGCGCTGCTCTAGGGTGACCATGAGGTGTACAGCCTCCATGGATCAGGTACAAGGCCATCTAGGCCAGGGGTGGGGTCATAGCGCCAGGGGCGGGGTCACAGTGATCCAGACCGCTGTCTTTCTAAGTGCAGGCGGCGCACCGCCGCGTGGGGAGTCTAGCAGAGCGGTGGCTGGCATAGGCAGAGCTGGGGCTCCTGTAGGTGTTACAGATGCCTGTAACAGGATCAGGCCATTGCAAAGCAGTTGAGGTCTTGGTAGAAGAAAGGATACAGTATAAGGTCACATAGCCGATTGCCACCATGTATCCGACAGTAAACCAAACAAGAGATTGTCTGCCGGCATGATACTCTCAGGCTCAACATGCCCTGTGTTTCCGGTTCATAGAATTTAGAACTGTGAAACATACAAACATACACCAAGTTCATCATATAGTATACAGGCAGCATACAGTCATACTCTCAAATATGTCATACAGCACAGGGAGACACATTGATACCGGATGACATCCATGGGAATTGTGATGATGGCAGGATTACAATGTGTTTGATTAACCGACTTCTAAATGATGAAACTTATGGCAATCTCAGTGGCTCTGACCTTAATATATCCTAAATGGAGATGAAGTTACGAGATTTCTGATGCCCTGAGTTACCTCAATGACAAACAGGAACAGAAAATGTGGTAATCCGGTGATTAAAATCACTCAATCCGGAGTTGAAGGAAAGCACAATGTGAAGTCATATGCACTGCCGATCATCAAGCTTGAGTACACTCCCCAGCCTAACAATCCTTTTAGGTGGTGGTATCAATCATGGCAAATACTAAACAAAGGGGAATCACATACACTCCTCCAATGAGGAAACGATTGCCTCAGCTATATAAACTCAAGGAGAAAACTACTTCCAGAGGATCCAGGTCATTATGGGTTAAAGATTCATGGTCCCCAAAAACAAAGTCGGTGACATCATCACCAACAAAATCTCCCTCAAAACACATAGCCGGGTCCTCTCAGATGCTCCATGAGGGTGCTGACTTTGACTTTGACCAAGGCGACATCCCTCAGCTTAAATTACCAAAATCTCTGGCAAGCAGAAGTCCTTCTGATTTGGCAGTCTGCATCTGACTGGATCATGCAGAGTCAGAATGAATATCTCCAGCAATGGAAGCGCAAGTTCAAGGACTACATAAATTTACTGATGGTCAGAGAGGCCCCTCCTCTGGACCGGCTTTGTGCAGTTTGCAAGAAGGATGGGGTTTATAAATGCCATAGCTGTTTCAACGAGCCCCTGTTTTGCACAGACTGCTGCAGAACCCAACATCAAAGGCATCCATTCCATCGTATCAGTCAATGGACCGGATCATTTTTTCAAGAAACTTCACTCATTAAAGTCGGCCTGCACATTCACCTTGCTCATGATGGCACTCCTTGTCCCAGCAGCACTGAATACACATCCGACCTCTTTGATTGGTCCGATACTGATGAAAATATCAACTATGATGATTATCCGGAGGGAGCTTCCATTCCACTTGTCACAGACTCAGATCATCCGGCTACAACCATAGTAGACAAATCCGGTGTTCACTCCCTATCCATATGGTATTGCCACTGCCCTGGTGCTCTCGACCGGGATATGCAGCTCTTTCAAGCAGGCTTGTTTCCGGCATCCTTCACCAGACCAAAAACTGCATTTACGTTCTCTGTCTTGGACGACTTTCTGCTAGACAACCTAGAATGTGGTACATCAGCCATGAATTACTACAGTAAGATCCAGAGGCTAACCTCGAGCATCTTTCCATTGATGGTTCCTGTAAGTCGGTTTTCATTTTTTTTACTTCACCATCCAGTCATTGAACAACAATAATTGCAGGATCGCTACAGAGAGCTCATGAGAACTGCCAGACAGTGGCACCAATGCAAGCTTTACAAGTGGCATGGGTTTGCCCACGAAGATGATGAGCCAAAGGCTGGTGATCTCGCCCTATTTTGTCCTGCATGTCCTCAACCGGGGATAAATTTGGACCTGTCAACTGATACAGCCACTGACCCCGACAACACCCCCTCCTGGCTCTTCACCAGGACTTTCATCATGGATGGTAATTTTAAAGCTGAGCACCTCCATCCGGTGAATCCATCCGATGAAGTATCATTGATGGATGGTCTTGCATTCATGGTCGGAGATGAAAGATACAAGAATCATTTGTCTATTGCCCAAGACCGCGTCCAAAAGTCAGATTGCAACAATCACCATGCAGTCAATCAAGCAAATGCCTCCCGGCAAAAGCTGGAAGCCACCGGGATAGGAGGATGTGCATGTGCACGCCATGGATGTTTTGTCCCACATTCCATGGTGGATTTTCAGAAGGGTGAAAGGTGAATACACATTGCATCCGGTTACATGCATTTCCGGTCTTACTGATCTCACCCACACTAATCAGGCAGATGAACATGGACTATGCCTTGAGTCAAGTACTCAACTACAATACCAATGGAATCTCGCATGTGATAACGTTCTATGACATAAATTGTCAGTATAATAAGTTTCTCAAGGACCAGATCGCATCCAGCATGTATCTTTCGATCCCCATGGGCATGGATATCATTCCCGGAATAGGTTTGTGGCATGTACATGGGCATCAGGACAGCTGCTATGTCCGGTATGCATCAAATTTTATCCACAGGACCGGCAGGATAGACGGAGAGATCATGGAAACACTCTGGGCAACTTTGAACATAATTTCTCCATTGGCCAGGGGCATGGGAACTCCGCATCGCAAGGAGGTATTAGATTATCAGATGAATGATTCCAACTTCATGAAAATGATTCGCATAAGTGAGTTGGCAACCTCCGGATGCACAAATATGGTCCGGTCTCATCTAATTCATTCTCGGCTCACTTGCTCTGCAGCTAAGTTTCTGTGCAGAAAGTTCAAGGAGGCTGCCAGGGGTGCTGCAGAGAGCAAACTCTCACTCCAAAATCTCAATGAGACAGCTCACCCTGACACGGTCATTCTTTGGGAAGCAGAGGAGGCACTTGCTCAGGCCAACCGACTGGAGGATCCAACAGCCATGGACATTTATGAGGTCTGGTTGGAAAAGGGCAAGTCAAATTCCACCAACATTCATCCGGGCCGGATTGCATTCTGATTATGATCCAGATGCCATGTATTTATAGCTCCAACTAGAAAGCAGCAGGAGTTGCGCCTGCTGGAGGCACAAAATTGTCATGATAATTTAGTCAACAATTTCCTCAGTCGATGAGGAGCAGCCACTTGGCTAGCAACCGGTCTCACCATAGAAGAATCCCAAATCTCTCTCTCTAGAGATGTGAAAAGGCTCAGAAGGCATCCTACAGATATTCAATTGCTGAGAGTGGCCCGACTCAGGGATAAGCTACAAACTCGCATTACAAGCTTTCTTGAGATGGCACCAACTTATCTTGGATTTGGAGTTGATGTTGATGATCTGGATCCTCCGGTAGACCCCGTTCATAATTCGCTGGACGATTATTCCGATCTTGATGATTGTGACCACCATCCGGATCAGGCACCACATCATACCTCCCTCTTTCAACCGGAACTCACTATTATACCTTTGCCTTCCAATCTTGGAATGGACAGATGCAATGCATTGGATCTCACCCATCTCATGACAGAAGAAGCCGCCCTCCATGAAGGCCAGGCCAATGACGCCCTCCATGCAATTAGAGTTCATTTGGTAGATAAAGCTGTCATATTCCGGAATACTGTCCGGTTAGCTATGTCACAAGCCTTCTCCACCAGGGCATGGACTCAAGTTCGCTCGGTGGAGGCAGCAGTCAATCTCAATGCCAGGATATATTCAAAATGCCTGTTGCAGCTAGCTAAACTCCCTGATCATGACCTCCGGAAGAAATATCTTCCCCTACAGAAAGAACACCTTAAAGCAAGCACTGCAGTGGCAGATCCAAATGCATGTGGTCAGAGGGACGCTACTCTCGCATGGTTCTGGTCTATTGACGTTCAGGGTGATACATCCGGAAATGACTGGATGACAGAATGTGAGTATCCACGACATTCAGTGATATTGGCTCGTCCAGTCTCACATGCTCCAACAATAGTTTATCGGGTAAATTGGCTCCGGACAAAGGCACTGTGCGATCGTTGGAATGAAGAGGTTATTCTTGTCAAACAAGAGATGCAGTGGTCGGTCAATTTCTTCAACCACAAGGCCAAGCAATGGCAAGGTTGCATGGACAATGCCGCTTCCACCGGGCTGACCGGACATGCATGTCATGCTGCCCAGCAATGTCACATATATCAAGAACTGTCTGCACATGCAGCGGATTCCTTTCGAAAAATGATATCAGTCATTGAGCCGGATGTACCGGTTATTGGTTAGTTCCGGTCAGTTCAGAGTACCGGTTGTATAGTTCCCAGGGTAGCTAATATGTAATTATTTGGGCCGGGTTCAAACGATCCCACTCTCTGATGCTGGTCATTCAGCCGTATGTACCGGTTATCGGTTAGTTCCGGTTGGTTCAGAGTACCGGTTGTATAGTTCCCAGGGTAGCTAATATGGAATTATTTGGGACAGGTGCAAACGATCCCTCTCTCTCATTCTCCCACAACATCATCCATAGTCGTTCTCCATGAACAACACCGGAACTCTGGTTTCCTCTGACCAAGTCATTGTGGCTTACTCGGATGGTCAGATCACCGCTGGAGAGATTTCTCAGGTGTTATTCTATGCCAATTCACGTTTGTTGGCTATGCGCCTTTATGTTGACAAGAGCTTTGCTACTGCCATGCCCGGATATGCAGCAAGATTCTACCAACTCATGAAATGGGAAATGGAGGTAAGCATCTGGTAGTCCGGTAGTCCGGTCCTCATATTTCCTTGCACTCAAATGTTGTCGCCTGTCATATAGACCTTTGTAACGCCTTTCATCAACATATCCTTCATTAGCAGGTGCTCCATTGTCATTCCAAAACATCTTCAAGATATAATCTCAATCATGGTTGTACATGCATTGGTGGACCAGCAACCGGATGTGAATGAGTTTCTCAGGGACATAAAAGAATTGCCTGTCTCTGTGGATTCCCCCGCATCTGATGAATATGACATTGCTCACATGCCAGACTATTTCAATGCCTGGTGGAAGGAAAACCTGGGCTCTTGCAGGGTGTCAGACATGTTGCCAAAGTCATCTGTCCAAGATGTGATGGAGTTGGTGGAGGGTCATTTTTCAGAACTTGTATGTCCATGTGCTCTTCAGCTTTTACACCGGATCCCTACCAAATCTGACATGTAACATGGTAATAGCCTGATCATGTGGAAACCGGCCGCCTTCCATATATGCTCACGCTTGGCCCAGTTACTAAACCAGAGACCATTGGATCGGCATCTCTTGAGAGGTGCCATCAGACACCAATCGGTAGAGAGCTGTTGGAAATATTGCAGGGGAGGATGGCGAATTTTTTACATTCAAGTGATAGGTTGGCCGGATTAGTTGGCCCGGTTGATGAACTCACTAGGGCTGTGGCGTCCTCACAGGCACTCATGAACCGGTTGAATACAGATGACAGTGCATCCGTACGGTCAAGCACAATTTGATGTCTGGAAGCCTTCAGTAGATATGTTATACCATGTGTTATATTGAACTGCAATGTAAATGGGTGGAGATTTCCAAAAATGAAATCTGGTTGTGTGCATGTGACGCGGATTCCTGCTTGTCATTATCCGGTTACGGTTGGATCGGACCAGCTTTCTTTTCTCTCCTCATACATTAACAGCTCATTCAGTGCTTTGACACATGACAACAATCCCACCGGACTGGGCATTATACCAGACCTACCTTGCCGGTGAATTGGTTTATGACACCTTCATGTCCAAAATTCATCAGCAACCGGTAAAGCCAAAGAGCGTTGGATTCTTGGATGTCGACACCTGTATTGCTTTGGAGCAGCTTGCCAATGTCTTGGCCGTCGCCTACTGCAATCCTGGTATGCATTCTAGCATAAATATCTGTTCCGGTTGAGTAACTTGCCGGCAGTTCACCTCAAAATTGACATGGTTAGATACAATGAATGCTTTGACACACATGAATCCGGTCGAAGCGAAAAACGAGAACAGATTCTGTTAGACAAATTCCCTCCCAAAGAAGAGCTTGTCTTGACAACACCGAGTGTCATCATTGATTCCGGAGGCAGAATTATTGTCTGGTATTTGCCTGAAGCAATGACCGGTATGATAATGGTATGTCTTCTATCAACATCCGTTTCTTACTTCATCTCATCCGGATGTATATGACAAATTTACAGACAGATATGTATTGTGCCACAAATTCCATGGGCAATTTGTTGAACAATAGTATCACAACCGGCAAGCCTACTGCATGGAGGACACATGTGTCCAATTTCTATCCAAGTCTGAATGGGAAGATCACCCCCAGTTGCATCAATATATCACCAGCATGGTTTCAGCAAGGATGAGAGGTATGTCCGGTTCATATGAATTGAGGTTGCCGGTCTGAAGTATTGCAGAAACATGGCTTCCCAAATCTTGATCCAGGAGATGGCTTCTCACCTGAAGTATCAGTGTCGTTGAAAGGTGATGTTGGTAGCAAAATCACAACCTCCCTTCAAAGATCCGGTATCCTTGTCTCTGCTGCACTTCGGGTCATGCACCCAGATCTTTATCAGGCTGGAATCAAAACTCAAGTCAGGCTGGGCAAATGGGCAATCCGGTATCAGTTACATGACATGTGCCATCATCTGAAACGTTGGACGTCGGTCTTCAATGTGGTGTCAGTCATTTGCAACCGCCGGTCATCACCTCATAGAGATCCGAAATGTCGACCGGAGGCATTTGATATCATGACAACTGCAGGTATTTATCACCCGGTCATGATGGATTTCATGAATCTTGGAATCAAATTTTTATATGACTCCGGGTCAATGTTAGCTTCATCATGTCGGCTTGTGAGACATCACATGCATGTGGAAGAGGGCAGCTGGATTGTCACTGCATGGTACATGCGAGATAGCATCCATAACTTTGTTGGAACTCCAAGGACAGACTATGCAAAATATGGCAATGTGAAATGCAGTGACCCGGTTGCAAAGAATGATGTTTAGACAAGTCATTATACATGTAAAGCCATACATATTTGGATGTACCGGTCACTATATCCAGCATTTATCCATGTGCCGAGGTCCAGTAAATCAGTAGGATAGACATACATGAGCCGGGAAAATGTATTTTGGTCCACTCTAATTGATATTCATGCATGGTGGATTTACCGGACAATAGGCTTATAAGATTATAGTTGTACCAGATACCGCACTCACCGGATCATGGATTTACCTGATACTAGATGTACTGGATGAGCTTGTATCCCCGGAACATTTGTTTGCACTGGGTACACCCTTTCTTCCGGCTCATTCGTATTTTAAACCGGATTCACCATTCATACTATCCTATATACTAATACATTCCTATATCATTGTCTATACTATATACTCCCGGCCCATTCGTTTGCCTCAAGCATATTCATTCCCTCGGCCCACTCGTCTCCATTGTAAACTGGATTCACCATTCATAATGTCCTATATACTAGTACATTCCTATATCACTGTCTATACTATATACCCTCGGCCCATCCGTTTGTCTCAGCATACACATTCACTCAGCCCACGCTAGTATAGCCGGCCCATCTGTTTGCCTTGGGTACACACATTCCTCTGGCCCACTCGTCTCCATTTGTTACGCACTCAAATAGATCTGTTAGGCGGAGCCCTAAGAGGGGCGTCGTCCGCTAACGTTCGTGACGTAACCGGAAGGATCCGGTATAGCAAGTGATACTGGCGACGATGAGTCGGCAGTGATCACAGTACGCGTGTGTCACGTGACTTGGTAGACGGATGTCTAAGAAGTCACTCAAGGTAAGGACTGTCTTGTCCGTACGATGAGGTCGATCGAGATAGACTTAGCCGCGATGAGCGACTAAGAAAAGATACTAGAGACTGAAGCTGAGGGGGCTTCAGAGGGAAGTATGTTCCAGGGAAGATTGAGTAGATTCAAGTTAGAGAATCTAGTACAGGATGACCGACTACTTATACTAAGTGGAGAGGGTTAAGGGCAAGGCTACCGCACAGTAGGTAAGGGTAAAGGGGATGCGAGAATGGTATAGGTGCGTTGGCAACATGGCCGGATTAGTGATGGTTGGTCGAAATGGGAATGAGACCGAGAAACGTTGGAACAGACCAACGGTAAGAATACAACGTGCGGGAATCCGCAGTCAGGGGAAACAGAAAGAGGAAAGCCACATTGGTGGCACGAGTCAGTCCGAGTCAGAGGTGCAGGACCACATTGGTGGTCGAATCAAGAGAGGAACGTGCGTGCACGTGCATAGAGGCGAATGATGCGAGGGACGGGAACGGTCCCGAGGATCCGGTCAACGGAAAGTCGGTAAAGGAGGACGAGCCGGTAGATGGTGAGGGCGAGGATGAAGGGAAAATGATAGGGGGGCCACGTGACCAATGTTACTTGTAACACCATTGTAAACCTGATTTACCATTTATAATATCCCATATACTAGCACATTCCTATACTACTGTCTATATTATATACCCCCGGCCCATCCATTTGTCTCGAGTACACACATTGACTCCGGCCCACTCATGTATCATGGTACAATTATTGCCATGGGCCCACATGGGATGGCCCGTCCCTATTGGTACATTGTCACCCTCAGCTGCCCGTCTGAGACGGGTGAATTCACTGAAGGGGCTCGCACAGGTGCATGAAGCCAAATATGGACCCAGCCTGAGACAGACAATGAAAGAGGTTCCAATATGTACGGAAGCGAAAGGCAATTTGGTGCCATTACTAGTACTGTCGAGACTGCAAATGTTTATGCATAAGTTACGATATGCATGTCAGCTGTACTTGCAACTTACATGTCAGGATGCGGTTGCCACAGTCCCCGACTGTATGTAGTAGTAGGAGTCACCTCAGTTTTGTCCGATCCGAACATTCAGTACCTGGTACCTGTCGAACAACAAACTGGAACATTATTTCCTCCCTTGCACCTAGGCTCGTGACCAGCCTGGCCTAATACTACCATGGTTGCACGAGTGGTGTAGCCAGGCTGGTCAATCTCAGAGTGGCGTGGCAGGGCAGAGCGAGGAGTTTGAAATTTGATAGGTGCTGGTCGTGCCGGAGGTAGTTACGATCATATAGCACAAGTTATGTGTCTGCTCTTGCTCAGACTGTACTACGCTATGTTAAGTTTCAACCATGAGTTCTGTACGACCTTTATCGCTCACTGCTCGAGATACAATTGAGAATCTCCCAATGGACTTTACGAGGTCCCTCTAAATGACACAACACCAGCAAGTTCTCGAGGCTTTCTCGCGACTCGATCTTCTTTCCCAAGGATCACAACGTCCGATTCGCGAAATTGTTCCAGCTCAGATGCCTCATATCATTACTTTCTGCGAAACACGTTGTACTTCGACACTGTGGAAAGGAAAGCCCATGAATTTAAGTAGGAGAAAACGTTGAAAATCAATAGAGAGAGCCACTGAAACTAATGAGGTAGCACAATGAATCAACGGCCATTGAATCCCCCGAAAAGACGATGGACATCAGTGGTTGAATCACTGATTGTTGTCGACATGGCCATTGAATTCAATGCAGCAAATCACTGACTTTTGATGGTGCGGCCACTGATTATTGACGACATAACCATTGAATTTGACAGGGTATTTGTATTTAGCAAAAGAATATGGCACCAAGTTATGGGTGCCCACAGGTATACTCCATGTACATGTACCATTTAACCCAGGATAATTTGCCATTGGCAGGGATTGAACCCAAGACCTCCAACAATGATAGCTGCATCATTGTGACTGCTGGGCCACAGGACCATTTCTATATATCAACAATAACACAAATATATCCAATGGTCACATGACAAAAAAATGCCAACATGTCTACCTTATCCGAGGAAGAGCGACAATTCCACTAAGTCCGTTTCACTAATGAAATTCATATCTCACACCACTGAGATTCATTGGCTAATCTTTCACATTTTGTTGTTTTCTCTGCATCATTTCATAGGTCGCGCCCATTTTTTTTGGTGGTCCATTGAAATTCATGTGTCATGCCATTAAAATTCATTGGCCTAACCACTAGATTTTATTGTTTTATCTATCATATTTCATAGTCACATATCATTGTTTACACCACTGAGTGCTCACACTGGCAATGAAATCTATGGTATTAGCCGAAACAATGAATACTCTTGCTGGTGGATTCAGTGTTACACACATTGAGGCTCATTGGTTCAGTGCTCGAACCACTGAAATTCATTGTTTCTACTTCCCACAGTGTCGAGCTGCGACAGGCTCTGGAAAGACCCTTGCTATGATTCTCCCTCTACTCCTTTCTCCCAACAAGACAGCTATCAGTGATCACTGTCAGTCACCTTTGAACTTATTGCTGCAGCGAGATCATGTACGCTAAAGATACAACATTTTCACTCACTCAAGGCATTAAATTTGTCCTTGTAAATAATGGGTTCAGGAGTTCGAGCAGTTTATCCTAATCAATTATTAGTGCTCCAGCGTGATGTACTGTTGTATTTGAGAGGATACTGTACTTTTCATGGTACGAACGAAAGAGTTTGCGGTAATGTTACCCCAAAGCGGCATACCGGCATCTGCCAAATTTCAAACTCCTCGCTTCGCCTGCCAAATCACTCTGAGTTCGACCAGTCTGACTACGTCAACAAATTCTCACCATCTCAAATTGACGCATAGTCAGACTGGTTACGAGTCTACCTTGCACCGTGACAGCTTTCTACAAGTTTCCATGTAGATCGTTCCATTGCCACCTGTATGCCGCATTTCTAGCTAACCGAAGCGAAATGACTTGGAGGTAACTTTGTATTTCGAAAATGCGGGTGATGAAGTGCCTTGAAGTGCTCGGCTCGAAAACATTGTAGGTACGTGCAGTGTAACGTAAGAACGTAATGATGCAATGCCGAATTTGCCTCTGATTTACCGGAGTAGTAGGATCCGACCTCTTGACCATGAACAAGACAACTTTCTGGTGCTCACCAGCGATGATCCGTCTACACGAACTTTGTAATGTCTGTGTCCAGACTCCATATTCCTGTGAGCAGTGTCATCATCTCCCATCAATTTCTTGCTAACCTTTGTCTCGTAGGGTCGCAGGTTGAGAATTAAAATATCAATGGCGTACTACCATTTAGTCCCTGCGGTACTCCCTACGTGCATGCCATCATGATTCATCACCGTGTTCTTTTCTAAAATCTATCTTCAAGTTTGCGTTTACACTGGATCTATCCTAGTTTTAGGTTAATAGTCCTGTTTCGATGTACCATTCTAGCCGCATGGCCTCGAATCATCATGAAATGAAATCGTGATTGAGTAGGGTTAATAACAGAGTTCAATAGACTGAG